GTATTTACCTGTAACCCACTAGCTTTCTCTGCATTCTGTAGACTACCTGTATATACCTGTATCTACCTGTATCAACCTGTGCCCACCAAATGTATCTACAATCTGTAGACTAGCTATATCTACCTGTCCCCACCAGATTGACCTACAATATGTACACTACCTGTATCAACATGTGCCCACCAAATGTATCTACAATATGTAGACTAGCTATATTTATATGTAACTCACCCGAGTTACAATCTGTAAACTACCTCTATCTACCTGTGCCCACCAAATTTATCTAGATCTACAATCTATAATCTACCTGTATCTATCCCACCAGATTCACCTACAATCTGTAGACTACCAGTATTTACCTGTATCTACCTGTATCTACCTGTGCCCACCTTATCTCTTACCTTACCCCACCCCGCCTGTTCACCTCAACACTCACGAACATCTTGTCTGTTTCTATACTGTCTGCCCGCCTGAGGAAACTACACCATATCGACACCTACACCCACACCTACACCTACACCTTATCTGTTTCTATACCGTCTGCCCGCCTACACCATATCGACACCTAACAACAAGATGGTATTATACAACCAACAACCTAACTCCAAACCATTTCATTTTTTAGGAATTGACTGCCATCTAATCAAATATAACAAACAAAAATGTTTTCGTGCTGTTTAATTTGTTTATTATATTATTTTTATTTAAAGAATCCTGACATTTATTGCTTTGTTTTCAAGTAGATTACACAAATAAAACTTTTAATAAAATAGACAATGTTAATACTTCTAGATAGCTTTTAAACGAAAGAAGCAGTGGGTTTTGCCTTGGTGCAGAAAAAAAGCGTCTTTGAACAGCTGATCGTTTGTGGTGATAAGATTCATATCAGAATAAAATTTATAGTGTCTTTCTTATATCACGGTACTAAGATTTCTTAAAAAACGTCTTAATGTCAGGAATAATTTTGTTGTTGTAGTTTTTTTTTTTATAATGTCTTAACTTTAAAGCTAGGAGCAATGAATTCTAAAGATGTAGATAAATATGTTTTAAAGGGAAGGAACTCGAATGTTGATATACTTGTGTCATGAAGACCTGTTGCTCTTAGAAGATTTCTTGATAAACATGAACCTGACATGCGAAAGTCTTGTACTGTAAAGGGTTTGTAAAAACGTGTATCTTTAAGCTGAATGTTGAAATCCAAAGATGTTTTCGTTTACTTAATAGCCTAAAACTTACATCAATAGTCTACATGTTTTTTTTTAAATTATAATCATTCGTATAAAATCTTGAAAACAAGGATGTCATACTTAGTGTCGTTGAGACTAGAATGTTGCAGTCTATAAACGTCTTGTTAAATCTAATAAGAGTCTGATAGAGGAGAATCTTGCACGCTACTTATATCTGGATACGAATGTGTCTTAACTACAGTAAAGTTTCCGTGTAAAGAATTATTGTTGATAAAACTAGTCTTTAAAATTTTTTTGGTCAAGTCTTAAATACCTTTTAAAAGTTTATTGCAGCATCAATAGTCTTAAATGCGGAGATCTTGCGGTCTAAATGTCTTAATGTGTCTTGATACACGTAGTGTCTTAAAGTCTGAAATTTAAAGTTTTATAAGTATATGCTGGATTCTTGCGGTCCAAAATAGTCTTAAGAGTCAGCAGTAGTTTTGATATATACAGAGTCAGGATGTTTAAAATGTAACGGATTCTGGCAAAAGTCTGGAATCTTGCAGTCTGAGGTCATCTTGAAATTCCATCCAGCAGTTGTTTTTTAAGTTTAGGCATACAGTTTAGTTGACACCACGTGACACACATGCACGTGCAGCTGTGGGTCACGTGGGTGAGCTCCCACCTGTAGGACAGCCGCCCCTTGTTTTCGTTTTCCGACACCTCAGGAAATTCTGCGACTCGTATTCCGACACCTCAGTAAATTCCGCATTTCGTATTCCGGCACATCAGCAACTCCTTCAACTCGTATTCCGACACCCTAGGAACTTCTGCAACTCGTATTCCGACACCTCAGGAATTTCTGCAACTCATATTCCGACATCCCAGGAACTTCTGCAACTCTCAAGTTGGCTAATTTTTAATCAAAATGGATGATTTTTTAAATGAAAGGCTGACTTTCCACCTAAAGGGCTGAAATTCTTGTATCGGATCATCGTTCATACATATCGATAGTTTCAACGTATGAGGAGGTTGGTTCCTCGAGAGGAATCTCCAACTTCAGGCTAGGAGTGCCTGACATTTTGCTTAAAACAGCTGGCTTTTTCATTTTAAGCGGTGACTTGTCTCTTTGGGAGGCCTGACTTTGAGTCGGATGTAGTTGGCGTTTTGATTGGAACGGCAAAGTTTTTATTTGAAACGGCTGACTCTTCACCTTCTGACTCTTGACCGGCGGACTCTTACTCGCTTCACCTTTAAATAGACTGGGTTGACTTTTCGCCAGAAATGGCTGACTTTTCGCCAGAAATGGCTGACTTTTGACACGGAAAAGCTGACTTTCGATTTGCGGTGGCTGACTTTCGATTTGCGGTGGCTGACTTTTGATTTGCGGTGGCTGACTTTTGATTGGCGGTGGCTGACTTTTGATTGGCGGTGGCTGACTTTCGATTTGCGGTGGCTGACTTTCGATTTGCGGTGGCTGACTTTTGATTGGCGGTGGCTGACTTTTGATTGGCGGTGGCTGATTTTTGATTGGCGGTCGCTGACTTTTGATTGGCGGTGGCTGACTTTTGACACGGAAAAGCTGACTTTTGATTGGCGGTGGCTGACTTTTGATTGGTTGATTTTCAAAATGACAAGTTTTTACTTCGAGATAATGGCTCTTTAATTGGAAATGCTGACTTTTTACACGGTACGGCGGGCCAGTCACGCGGATCGGCTTTTTCAGCTGAAAAAGCTGATTATTCTCCCCCTGTGGCGGTGGCTGACTTTTGATTGGCGGTGGCTGACTTTTGATTGGCAGTTGCTGACTTTGGATTGGCGGTGGCTGACTTTGGATTGGCGGTGGCTGACTTTGGATTGGCGGTGGTTGACTTTTAATTGGTTGATTTTCAAAATGATGAGTTTTCACTTCGAGATATTGGCTCTTTAATTGAAAAGGCTGACTTTTTACACGGTACGGCGGGCCAGTCACGCGGATCGGCTTTTTCAGCTGAAAAAGCTGATTATTCTCCCCCTGTGGCGGTGGCTGACTTTTGATTGGCGGTGGCTGACTTTGGATTGGCGGTGGCTGACTTTGGATTGGCGGTGGCTGACTTTGGATTGGCGGTGGTTGACTTTTAATTGGTTGATTTTCAAAATGATGAGTTTTCACTTCGAGATATTGGCTCTTTAATTGAAAAGGCTGACTTTTTACACGGTACGGCGGGCCAGTCACGCGGATCGGCTTTTTCAGCTGAAAAAGCTGATTATTCTCCCCCTGTGACTGGCTATTCATTTTGAACTCAACTTTTAATTAACACGGCTGAAATCTGAACTTCAGTACAGATTTTTTTAAAACTATAAATTGTTATCCTTTTAATAAAAACGGCTGAATTTTTTTTTTTAATTTGATAGCTTTACGCTTAGTACGGCTGACTTCTATTATAAAAATGGATGAATTTTCATCAAGGATGGCTGAAGGTTATGAATACTAAACGGATACACAGAATTGACTTTAGTAATGAAATTTCCCCCCAAGAGTCGGATGGTCTGTGCTTTTTATACGTGATATTTTCCTGTGAACATTTAATGGCAATCCTCTATGGCGATATGACTTTGATGTTATTTCAGCTTCTTTTTTGGTGCATCTTTTTTATAGTTTAGATTACTGTATTGATTTTAACTTTCGATTCGAGCAACAGTAAGGTAAGATTTCATTGGAGGATGACACGGAGTTTCATAATGTCGCTTGTGTAACGTAGAATTTCATTGGATGGCTGATGAAACAGGGGGTTTCATTGCAGGGCTGGAACGGATGGATGGAACAGAGGGGTTGAGAGTGAGGGGTTGAGAGTGAGAGGTCCAGTTAGTGTGAGTTGTCATAGGTTTCCCCAGCACCGCCAGTGCACGCCTCCCCCTCTGCCTCTGGCTGGCCCCATGGTTGGGTGGACTTCTCTCCCTTGGTCATGGTTCACAATCACGAGACGTGGGCTACCAATCACAGGGGTTTCAAAGGGTGTGGGTTTCTGTGTACAAAAAAAGAACGAGGGTTATTTAACAGATGTTTGCAGTTACGTAAAAAAAATCAGTAATTCTTGCCACCCCCCCCCCCTTAACCTAAACCTAATTGTGAACCAATTTTGGAATCTAGCCCTAACTGTAAGCCTAACTGTATCTCTAATCCTAACTCTAATCCTAACTCTAATCCTAACTCTAATCCTAACTCTAATCCTGACTCTAATCCTGACTCTAATCCTGACTCTAATCCTGACTCTAATCCTGACTCTAATCCTAACTCTAATCCTAACTCTAAACCTAACTCTAAACCTAACTCTAAACCTAACTCTAATCCTAACTCTAATCCTAACTCTAATCCTAACTCTAATCCTAACTCTAATCCTGACTCTAATCCTGACTCTAATCCTGACTCTAATCCTGACTCTAATCCTGACTCTAATCCTGACTCTAATATTGAATCTCATCTTGACTCTCATGTTGAATCTAATCCTGACACTTATCCTGACTCTTATCCTGTCTCTAATATTGACTCTAATCTCGACTCTAATCTTGACTCCAATTTTTACTCTAATCTTGACTCTCAATCCTGACCCTAATCTTGACCTTAATCCTCACCCTAATACCGGCCCTAATCTTAACCCTATTTCTAACCCTATTTCTAGCACTACTAATATCCCTATTACAAAATCTTCTTCTAACTTCTAACTATAACCCTTACTCTACTTAGTCCTTATCTTAACGCTTATCCTAATTCTTATTCTAAACCATAATTCGAACAGCCGTGCCATAATCTTATGTTCGAACCTTGAAACACTGCTTCGACATTCGGAGTTCGAACACCTTATTACACTAGTATTATGATATGAGCGCCATATGATAGTTCGAACAGTGAACAATTAAACTAATAATATGTGTTCGAGTCTCGAAGCATCGTGTGTGACGTGTACATAAGCTAAATAAACCAACAGGCGTGGGCGAGGCACTATTTACGTCACTTCGTTACGTAATATGGGAATCAATTAGCGCCCACATCTCCAATTAGATAAAATCCATTCATTTTCAGCTATCGATACATGAATTAGTTCTTAATCAATCAAGTTATACTCAGTGATTATAAGTTATTTTTATTTATTGATTATTCATGTGGTTGATTATAAACGATTATCAATACTCAAATCTGTATCGATTAGATGATCATCGGTTTACAATTATTTACTATGTCTTTCATCCACGAAAGTGTAAGTTTGTTACGTATTCGTTCTTAGAAAGTGCTGTATCGAATTTCTATTTTGTAACGGTATCTTAACTCTTGCCCTAAGCCAGACCCAAGTTTAATCGTGAAGATAAAATTGGTTTGGCTTATCGATAGATCTAGAATATCTTAATCTAGGCTAGATAAATTTATAGTAGATAAAAATAGCAAACAGATGTATCATTTAAGCTAAAGACGACAGAAAATTTAGCTTTATAGTGCGTTAACTTGTGGATGTTGTGGTGTTTCACTAGGAAGCATAATAGCACCCATTTTTTAATTTTTTTTTTTTTTTTAAAAAAGCCAAATCTTTTTAAACGTAAACCAAAATATTTTGTTTAGATTCGTCTGTAAAGTGTCTTAAGAGATACGTTTTTTGACCCGGTACTTCATGCCCCAAAACAAAAACAATGCCAAAACGTTAATTTCTTATTTAGCTTACACATAAAACATTCACTAAAGACCAAATTTATTTTTAAAAAAACTCGTGTTTTTAAACAAGGTATTTGTAAAAACAATACCTAAGAATATATTTCTTCGTTATCTCTCATATTTAACGCTCACTTAAATTAAATAAAAAACAAATTAAACATAAGGCACTAGTTTTCGACCGCGTAGGACTACTTGTTACAAATAGCTCCTAAAATATTACGTCTATTTTAGTCCACTCACCACACCTAAATTAAGAACAAACACACCGTTGCCCGTACACTGCCCTATAAAAAATTGGGGACGAAATCGAAGAACGAGCCCGCCCCCCCCCCCCACCCTCCCTACACCCACCCCCACAACGTCCACAGATGGCCATTTTCACTGGTACTCACAACCAGGTTCCAAGACCAAAGACCAATCAATCAGGCGCCGTGTGCTGCCTGGCAGATATTTACACATTTTGTTTTCTTCCTTTTCCTTTTATCATTTGATTTCAGATATTTTTAATGTATCTTGCAGTATTTGAACTTTTTTTATCTAGTAGTCCTACTTGCCGTGGCGTTTTTTAAATAAATGAAATTCGATTTTGTAAATTATTGCTTGTGTCGTTTATGTTATAGGACTATAATTTTTTTTTTTTTTTGAGTTGCCTGCATTTCGATCGTTCTTACCTGTTCAATATTTCTCAGTAAATTAAAGTAACTTCCCCTGTCGAAGCTAACGGTCATTGGGCAAGTGAAGTAGAGTTCACCTGTTTCTGTGACCTCGGCATATGAAGGGATAATGTGGTCAGCACTATGCCCAGCCGCCTTTACTTTCCCAAGGTAATTATAAGAGTTGGGTGGACTCAGGGACGGTCTACTGACGAATCTGGATTCGAACTCGAGACTTACGGGTTAGCAGTCCAGCTCTCTACCGTCCCCTAGCGACTAGTAACGTTGGAGGAATTTTCCAGTCTGCCTGGCAAATGAGCATCAGCCCGAGGCGGCATTGGCCGTACGAGAGACTGAATATGAATTTTAAAATATGGTAGTTGGGTTTAATCTTTGGGTCAGACAGCGCTGTTAGATTTAGCGTTTCAGAATTCTAAATAATTTCAATACACACCCATCCAATTTAGATTTCTAGATCGATCTAGACTACATGTCTAGATATAAGTCTAGATCTAAATATCTAAATCATAATAGATCTACACCCCCACATTTCCCGCCTATCGTTTTTCAGCCTTTCCGGTATTTAAACTATTTGTATCAAGATTTGTTTAGTAACCGCCCCCCCCCCCCCCTTGTATTGAACCACCCATTGACCCCAGACCTACAAAACTTGCCTACAGAAGAACTAGCTACCTGGCCCTGTTTACTCTCGCTTGACCCCGTGCGCTGGCGGTGTGTGTTCGAGTACCCTTTAGGATCCTTGAGCCAACATCAGAGACACAGGCAGCCGTTTGCCATTGTAAGCCTCGGTCAAGGTTGTTGTTGTGTGTCGATTTCATTTCCGGGGGCGGCGTGGTTTGTTTTCGTTTCTCTTTGCGCTAACCAAAGTCACACGCTGGTGGTGTGGGTATTCCCGTTTGCTAGCTAAGCTTCGCGTTTTCGTAAGTTTGACCGGCGTTGTAAAAAGTCTATTTAATTTAATTCAATTCAATGCACAAATGATTGTAAAAAGTCTATTTAATTTAATCCAATTCAATGCACAAATGATTGTAAGGTGGGAAAATAGGGGGTGTGGGGGGGGGGGGGGGGGGGGTTGAGGTAATCGCTAATACAACTGTTTGGTGTAAATAACCTCGCATTGTTAATAAATATGGCTCTTTAAGTTAATATATCAGTCTCTTTTATCAATGACCGCGTCTTTCTTTATTCAATTAATACCTGTTACTGTTTTGGTTCGGAAACATGATTTTCTCATTAAGCAAAGAAATGTGGCGTTTTGTTTCTTTTTATTTTATTTTTGGAAATTAATACATGCTAGTCGTTAAGTTTATTATTGCATCTTTTAATATAAACACTTTTGGCTGTTAAAAATGAAGTTCTTTGGAATTAGAAACAAAGACATTTCTTAAGTAGTCAGTACGTGGTTGGGGGTAGGTAGGGGCGTTTTTGTTGTTGCTGCAGCATATATCTGCAATCTAAAATAAAATTTAATTTTCTTTACGGTTTCTGCTCCATTATAGATTTTTAAAACGACCCATCAAGAAAAATAAAAACGTTTTCACCAAAGATCACCCCTAAATGTACATGCCTGTGTTATACCGGTATTCTACCAAGACGATAAGACTGTCTATGCAAATTTCATCTGCTATTCTTTATCCCCCCCCCCCTTCCACAACACACTAGATGTCTAAAACCTTAGACATTTTAGTTTTAGTTTCGTCCTTTCCCCTCCATACTATCCTTTCTGTCTAAAACCGTACACATTTTAGTTCCCCCCACTCCCCCCCCCCCCCCCCCCACACCCTCCCACCCCCACCCAGTCTTTCTAAATCCCTACACATTTTAGTTGAAGCTATCGGCATCACGCGACGGTACTAAAACGCCAATACAGTATCCGCATCTGTTAAAAATTTTACCTAAAACGATATCACTTTTATTTATCGTCCCCCCAAACTTCATATTTTTTTACCATCCTGTCCTTTGACGACCCTAATAGTATATTTGTCTCCCCTTTAGATAGGTTGTCTCCCTTGAACCCTTCTTTTTCCCTGGCTCGCCCTTTGAGAGCACACTTCAAGTCCGGCAACTCGTCTCGGCCGACACGACCCCCATGGGGACCATCTATTGGCATATTGCTCGGGGTAAGATCTATTACCCGCCCCTGATTGCGGCGTTTAGCGGCTGACAGCTTGACTCGAGACGGGCAAACGTTGTGTTCTTGTCTCGCGAAAAAGTAAAAATAGCCGACTTGCGTCACGAAACAAGGGGAAATCACCGCCGGCCCTCGTCTGGGACTCTCCTGCAATAGAAATTAGGATTGTATGATTTAAAGGGAGGGAGGAAGGGAAGGAGGGGGGTGAGAAACAATTATTGGAATCGATACCATACGTTATGTGGACAAACTGTTTTTTTCACTGAGTTATGCGTTGTGTTTAGTTTAAGCTCATAAGATTTGGGGATGGTTCTTTTTTAAATCTGAGAGCTCACACACACACACACACACACACATATATATATATATATATATATATATATATATATATATATATATATATATATATATATATATATATATATATATATATATATATATATATATATATATATATATATACACATATATATACACACACATATATTTATATACATATATATACACACACACATATATTTATATACATATATATACACACACATATATTTATATACATATATATACACACACACACACACACACACATATATATATATATATATATATATATATATATATATATATATACAGTTGTTGTGCAATGTTAGATTTTGTATATAGATGTTTCTAGCTGAATTAGATTACCTCTGCAGGCGTGTATATATTTTTAGGGCAATGCATCACGCATGTAGCTGGGTCTGCCACCCCCTCACTCCCCTCTTATCTACGCCACTGGCTTTATTCACGTATTTCGTGTGTCCTTATAAAAAACAAGGCGTGTACACTCAGAGGTCTGGCAGTTTTCAACGCTGTCGAGTTCTCAACTGGTGAATATACAGCAGAGATATCGCTCTTGTCGAACTTATCTCCCTTGTAAGTTCTTTCCGCGCTCGAGTTATCTTCCCTTGCCCGCTCGCACAATGGCGCACTTAAAATAGGGGGACGTGGTCCACATATTTGTCACGTGAGACGGTGTCACGTGAATAACTGTGACCACGATCGTGTTACAACCCATGAGTAACCCGGGGTTGTCTTTGCTTCTTCCTGGATAATCGCCCCTTGCTTGTTTTTATTTTATTTATAATCTCTCAACCCCCACCCTTAGCCCCTAACACACCTACGTAAAAAAAAGGGGGAGTTAATTAAACCAAAACTGCTTAACATCAGATCCCAAGTAAAAACAGAACCGAGGCGTGGCCCATTGTTTCTCACGCGTGATCGTGCACACGATAACCTGACGCCCACACAGAGTTTCCCTGTTTAGAAGATTGTTTCCCTTTATTAGATGTGTTGTGGTTATTTCCCTTGCTCTTGTGACCTTGTCATCATTCTACAATCGCAATATACGTGTAATTATATTTGCCAGTTTCTTTTCTGGCCGACAAAGCATATAAGCGTATGAGGACACCATTGAATTTATTTTTAAAAGCACTTTCTTTTTACTTGCCAAGGTATAAATCAAGTAGACATTATTACTTGTTTGTTTTTCTTCGTTTTTTTTTTTATTTTACTTATTTTTTTTTTAGTTTATAAGGTTTAAGTATATTGAAGCCTTAGTTTCATTAGTATCAGTGTTTCTTCCAGACTTTTTTCTCCGGGAGGGGGGGGGCGCTTGAAATCTTCGGGGGGGGGGGGGGGGGGCGGAAAACTTTCTTCGGGGGGGGGGGGGCGGCGGACACTGTTAAAAGTATATATTTTCTATATAAATTATATAATTTTCATTTCGTTCGGGGGGGGGGGGGGGCGGTAAAATTTTTTCGTGGGGGCGAAGTCCCCCCGAAGAGATGCCTGGAAGAAACTCTGATTAGTATCCCTGTCCTTGAACTCTCATCCCCACCCTAGTCCTAGCTTTACTCATAGCCCTTATACTAAATCTACTTCTAGCTATAATTCTTACTCAGCTTGATCCTTATCTTAACGCTAATTAGGGAGAGTGTTAGGGTAGGGTTAGTCCAATTCCTAGCCCTAGCCTTAGCCCCAGCCCTAACCATAACCCTAGCCCTAAACCATAACTCTAGCCCTAACCATAACCCTAACACTAGCCATAACCCTAGCCCTAACCATAACCCTCCTAGCAATAATTTTAACCCTAGCCAAAACCCTAGCCCTAACCAAAACCCTAGCCCTAACCAAAACCCTAGCCATAACCCTAGCCGTAACCATAACCCTAACCCTAGCCATAACCCTAACAAGAGCCCTAACTCTAAATATAACCATAAAACTTACAGCGATTCTGACATTTAAAAAAAACAATATACAAAACTCTCTTCTGACTCTATTTCAAGATTTTAGACCTAATCAGACTTTCTTTTCTTTAAATTGTCCTCTTGGTGATATCCAAAATTACAAAATATTTAGACATAGACAATCGTTGTTGCTCGAAATTGTTGATAATTATACAAGTCTGGTTTTCAGGGAACAGGGGACGTAATCTGGTTTGATTGGAGGTTATCTTCGGAAATAGGAGACATTTTTTTGTTGTCTTTTTAGCCCTGTACGTTACAGCTTATGAGATCAGATTTCAGTAATCGTTATGGGGAGGTTAGAGGGTCTATATGGGGATTAAGCTAGAGTTGTAGATTAGAGCATAGACATCTAGAGGGTTTAGTCTAGACATGTAGATTAAAGCATGGACCTTTGGGTTGTTGGCAAAGTCTGGAATTATAGAGCATACAACTTTGGAAAGAGGGCTTAGTCTAGAACTATAGAGCATGGAACTTTGGAAAGTGGGCTTAGTCTAGAACTATAGAGCAGTGGCGTAGCGAGGTCGGGTGTCACCCGGTGCGGCACTTTTCTCTATATATTTTGCTATTTTTTGCCTTGGTTTCACCCCCCTAAATGGTGTCACCCGGTGCGGTCCGCACCCCCCGCCCCCCCCCCCCCCCTCGCTACGCCCCTGCTATAGAGCATACAACTTTGGAAAGTGGGCTTAGTCTAGAACTAGAGAGCATACAACTCTGAGTAGTGGGCTTTGGCTAGAACTATAGAACATGGAACTTTGAGTAGTGGGCATCGGCTAGAACTATAGAACATGGAACTTTGGGTAGTGGGCTTAGTCTAGAACTATAGAACATGGAACTCTAGTGAGCATTGGCTAGGACTATAGAACATGGAACTCCAGTGAGCATCGGCTAGGACTATAGAGCATGGAACTCTGGGTAGTGGTCGTAGGCTGGGCGTGTAGACAGAGTTTCTTACAGGCATCTCTTCGAAGAAAGTTCCCCCCCCCCCACCCCGAACAAATTGGAATTTATATAGAAAACATATACTTTAACAGTGTCCGCAACCCCCCCCCCCCCTCACCACCCCGAAAATATCAAGTACTTCCCAGGAGAAAAAAAAGTCTGGAAGAAACACTGCGTGTAGATTAGAGGGACCTAGCGTGTAGTCTAAAACATAGATATCTGAGCATGGGGTTTAGGAGAGACGTGTAGATTAGATCACAAAACACGGGTAGTGGGCTTATGCTAGACGTATAGATTAGAGCTTAGGGGGTCTAGACAGGGTGGAAAGGAGGGAGGAAGCTTCGATTTTTACAATAGGACTTATACTTTGGGCATAGGCTAGTTAAGGCATCAATTTCGGGCAGAAAACAGATTTGCTTTTTAGGGTATCAACTGTGCGCGGTGGCTAGGCTAAGCTTGCAGACAAGGTCATGGGCATTCTGGCATCGATTTGGGCTAGTTTTGTTAGTCGATGCATGGCCAATGTAAAGCGAGTAAACTGGACATATAAATGTGTGCATGGGCATGTGGGCGTGGGTTAGTGAGAAGAGAAGATTGCAGTCAGTCCGACTACACAGTGCAGTGGCCTATTAAATACTGTTTACAATGTAAATATTATGCCTTCCTTGCACAAGTTTGAAAATATGTTTACAACTCTGCACTTGCTAAAAACTCATCAACAAACAACGACGGACACGAAGCAAATTTAATTGTTTAAATTAAAGTAAAAGAAAAAATACAACCCACTCCAGTTTTCAAGAAGAAAATTAAAATTTATTTTGATTTTTTATTTTATTTTGTGTTGCAGACGTCAACGAATGCGCTATCAACAATGGCGGCTGTGAGAAGGATTGTATCAATACGATTGGTTCTTATTACTGCAGCTGTCCAATGGGATACGACCTTGATCAGGACGGTAAAAAGTGTATTGGTAAGTTTATAATTTAGTTTAAACGTTGTTTAGAATTACTAGAACCTTGACTAGAACATTGACCAGAACCTTGACTAGAACCTTGACCAGAACCTTGACCAGAACCTTGACCAGGACATTGACCAGAACATTGACCAGAACATTGACCAGAGCATTGACAAAAACCTTGACCAGAACATTGACCAAAACCTTGACCAAAACCTTGACCAAAACCTTGACCAAAACCTTGACCAGAACCTTGACCAAAACCTTGACCAGAACATTGACCATAACCTTGACTAGAACATTGACCAAAACCTTGACCAAACCTTGACCAGAACCTTGACCAGAACATTGACCAAAACCTTGACCAAAACCTTGACCAGAACATTGACCAAAACCTTGACCAGAACATTCATCCGACCATTTTAATATCACGACTCCGCATTTTTAACAGTCAACTAGCAATGACACCTTTTATTTTAGCGATTTTGTCTTTGAACACAATGATTAAGCTTAGTGGAGGCTTGATGGCTTTGGAATCGGTGGGAGGCGATTATGCTCCTCTAAAAATCTCCCGCCTAAGACAGTGGGTTATGATTTAATATAGTTTAACCAGTACTTAAAACGATGAGCACGTGACCAGTGCCACCACGTGACACCTGACACCACGTGACCAGTGACAACACGTGACCATTGACACCACGTGACAACTGAGACCACGTGACAACTGAGACCACGTGACCAGTGCCACCAAATGACCGCTGACACCACGTGACCACTGACACCACGTGACAAGTGACACACCACATGACTAGTGACACACCACGTGACCAGTGACACCACGTGATGTTTTCAGATATCGACGAGTGCCTGGACAAGAACGGCTACTGCGACTCGAAGTGTGTCAACACCCACGGTGGGTACAGGTGTGAGTGTCCCAAGAACCACAAGCTGCACGCCGACGGCCGCAGGTGCATTGGTGAGTACAGTGGTTGTGTTGTTGTGTGCATGGGAGATTAGCTCTACCCGTTTACTGGTATACATCATCAGTGTTTCTTCCAGACTTTTTTCTCCGGGGGGGCACTTGAAATTTTCGGGGGGGCGGTAGACTTTCTTCGGGGGGGCGGACACTGTTAAAAGCATATATTTTCTATATAAATTATATAAATTTCATTTCGTTCGGGGGGGCGGTAAAAATTTTTTCGGGGGGGCTTTGCCCCCCCGAAGAGATGCCTGGAAGAAACTCTGTACATCATAGTCCACTCCATCAGTTCGTCCTCGTCGCCATCAGAGTTTCTTCCAGGCATCTCTTCGGGGGGGGGGGGGGGGGCACCATCCCCTCCCCCCCCCCCCCAAAGAAAGTCTACCGCCCCCCCCCCCCCCGAACAAATTTGAATTTATATAGAAAAGATATACTTTTGACAGTGTCAACTCAGAACCCTAAATCCAACCCTAAATCCAACCTTAAATCCAACTCTAAACCAACCCTTAGCCAAAACCTAAATCCAGCCTTAACCTAACCCAAAAAAACGCAACCCTTAACCAATTCCTAAATCAAATCTAACCCAAAACCAGCCCTAAACTCAACCAAAACCTCATAGCCCCACTACTCTAGTAGAAAGTACAGTTCACTTGGTCACTTTTTTTGCACTATATCCCATCCCGCGGAGTGATACTGAATTAATCGTGATGGGGCTGATTTTAAACGAAATACTACGCTAACTGCATCCAAACTTGACTGATGTTGCACTTTTTTCGCCGCGTACGCTACTCAAATTCCGCACAACGAAAACAAAACAGACACAAGCCTGCAATTTCCGGACAGCGAGCCGACTGTGATTTCAGATATTCAGGTGGGCGTGGCTTCATGCAGTCACGTGATGTAAATGTCTCCGTTGTAGACATTTTGTCGCGACGTTCGTTGCCTATACAACCGATACGTAACTCCCTCATCTCGAACAAACGAAAAAAAAAATTCACTTTGTTCTCTATCCTTAAAAATTCAATACCGCTAATTAATTATACCGACTAGCCATTTAAACAAAACATAGCCACCGGCTATTACAGTTAGCGAGAAGAAAGATGGATGCCCTTGACAGTTCCGCCGATCTGGTGCCAATTATGGGATGGATTGATCACGTGGGTGAGAAAGCAGACCTCTCAAACTGATACATTTTCCACCATTAAACCACGTGCGTCTGCCGCAACGGCTGGGGCGTAATGGCGCGCGAAAATTGGCGGGAAATCGTGTGGTGCGGTGCAGGTCGTAATTCAGAAACGGCCATGAGTGATTAACATCAATCTCTCAGAGAAGTGGGGTGAGGGATGGGGGGGGGGGGGGGGGGGGTGGGGGGTGAAATTATATGTGCTTGGTGGGATTGTTACAAAACTCAAACTTATGACTGCTGGGCAGACAGTAATTATAACTAGCCAGGTAATAATAGTCAGTATGCTCCGAAATATGGCAGGGTCGATGAAACCAATTAATTGGCGTCGCTAAGGGGTGTGCTAGCTTGGGGGAGGGTCAGCCCAAGGCAGAGGCGTAGCGAAGGGGGGCGGGGGTGCGGACCGCACCGGGTGACACCATATAGGGGGGTGACACCAAGGCAAAAAATAGCAAAATATATAGAGAAAAATGATAATTTCACCTAATTAAGTGATTAATTCGAGTGTTAGTCTTTTAAGAGGTGAAAATCGAAAGTTTGAGGGGGAGGGTGCAAATCGAAAGTTTTGGGGTCTGGCTTTTTGTGACGATGTGTGGCGGAGGGGAGGGGGAGGTAAAAATCGTCCCAAAAAGCGTGACGTCATTTATGGATGACCCCATACACTTATAGAATAAATATATTTAGAAAAAGAGAAGGGGGGGGGGAGAAAAAGAGGAACGAGGTGGAGAAAGTGGGGGGATTAAGAGAGAGCTTATTAGTATTACAAAATCTTGAGGCTTCTAGCTAAGTCAGTAATTTATTCAGTATCATCACCAACAGTTCCCGTCTAGCCATGTCAGTATTTATGTCATCATTTTAAGTCAGTAATTCTTCAAAAAAATATGAGTCTGCATTATTTGTGTACAGATATAAACACGCCCATAAACATTTCAAACCACTTCCGGCATCAGACAACTGTTTACTTAGCCTGCCACTTTGGCCCCTCCCACCGCCATATTTGTTCTATTTTTAGCTATTCGCGCATGTTTTCCTCTGATAGTGCCATGTTTCTCCTTTTTCAGCCGATTCCGTTTATTTGTTTGATCGTTACAGTTAATTGGTCTTTGTAATTGTTCGCGTTAATTGCATCAAGGCACCGAGCAACGCCACTCGTTATGTAAACACTAGCAATCTGTCCCGTCCATGTGCACGGGGCGGACGATGTGAAGAAGGCGGTTCGCGTTATTTTATCAGAGAGCTTTGGTGAAATTAAAACCCATTTGTTATGGGCGAACGTTTTGAAATCAGCGTTTGGACGGCGTGTTAGAAATAAATCTCGAAATACTTAATGCTGAGGGGGGGGGGGGGGTAAAAAAACTTTTTAATATGCCGTTGTCAATATGTAATCACCTCCATCTCTACTTCAGACGTGCTTCCATCAGTACTTTCAATATGAAGTACTTTAACATTTTATAACTGGTTTTCCGATTTCTTAAATTTCTGCATTGCGGAAGGTTTATATTTCTACGATTTATTGACTATTTTGGTAGATATTAAACGAAGAAAAAAGTGTTACTTATTGTTTTTTTTTAATTAGTAAAAACTAAAATGTATTAAGATTTTTTTTTTACTAACAGTTAAAATGTATAAATTGCTTGCTAAAGCTTTGTTTTATAAATGGCATTAAAATTCGTTAGATTATCCTATCAAAGAGAAAAGATCGTGATTAAACATTGTTATGTTGTAAGGGGGGTAACAATGTAATTTGTTTATTTAAAATACGCGACCTGTATTTCGCTTGCCTCCCATGGATAAGACTAGTTTTTTTTTAATCGATATAAAAACTAGTCACTACGGTGTTGTATTATATTGTATAGATTCTAGTATATTAAGCATGTCCTTTCAAAGTATAGCCTTTCCTAAACCACTTACAAAATAAATATAAAATTACGTTTTAATCTAAAAAAAACAAATGTCACACTGTAGCACTGACTATTATCTTTCAATGGAAATGAAATGCAAATACTCATTTTTAATTTCCATTGACGTTTTTTTTTTTTACTGTTGATTTTGTTGTGTAAATAAAAGCTTAGTGGCACAGCTAATGCGAGAGCTAATCCTTAATTGCTCAATCTGTCACGTTAATCCTACAGGGCTTGTAAATTAATTAGTTAAAGATTAGTTTAATCCGTGTGATAAGCCCACACTATTTCGATAAATATAATAAATGAATCTTGTAAACTTTCCTATGAAAATGATGAATGGGTGGAATTATTTTGTCTTGATAACTCAGACGTGGATAGATTGTTTATTAGATTATTATTGATAAATATAGTGTTGTAATAATCGTTGCCCATCCCACTTCCCAAAACAAATCAAGCAGATACTTTGCTTAAGATTAATTAGTAAGTAAAGCATTATTTCAAACGTTACCAGAGCACGTGAGGTGGGGTTCTATTACCTTGACGTATAAAAGGACTGTATGGTCAGCATTATGCCCTGCCACCTTTACATTCCGTCAGATAGCTATCAGAGCAGGGTGGATTCAGGGTCGTCATTGGAATTGAGCCCGGGATCCGATCTACAGACTATTTCGAGCCAGCAGTCTACTTTTCGACCACTCTTTCTAGATGAATATGCCCCCCCCCCCCCCCCCCAACAAAACAAAAAAATATTTTAAGAAGATAGACTTTATATATAAATGGTTTAATACGCATTTAGAAAATCGTTGGTCTGGTAATAAATACGAATCAATAAACAACAAAAGACTTTACCCCCACCTCTTTGTAGATGTATGTTTTTGAAATTAGTGAACCAATTAATAATTTATAATGAACATCTGAATTTCGAACGCGATACAAGAAATAGCTGATGAAAATAAAATGTGAACGGTGTGACCTGCCAATTTAAATTTTTAATTTAGCCGACATTTTTTAAATCACCAGCATTAAGTACTTCGACGATCGATTGTAATGAGCAATTATTTATTATTGAATTTTTAGAAAATTGTTATATTGTTATTAGTCTGTTATTTATAAATATAGATCTAGATCTTTTCATTAAAACAACAATTTATAAAGAATTATTTAAAGCGTTAAAAAGTGTTGTTTTAAAAATCTGCCCAGTTCACGGAAGTTATATGTTTCTAGACAACTAATGGACGCGGGGGGAAACTATTCGGGGTTGAAAAAGAAATCGTCTATTTTTTTGCTGGTTTCGGCATGAGCTAAGGAATGTCATGTGGAAGTGTACATTTTTAGATACAGTCCAGAAGCCTCGCCTCTGTCCCCTAACATTAGGCAGGCAAATGACAACTCTTATACCGTGCCACGTATCCCAGCACAACAAAAATTTTAAAAATATTGAAGTTTGAAGTCATCAAAAATTAAATTTTGGTTGGACAAAAGGTCACAATTTGTTTATTACGGACAATAATTAGAAGTTAGATCGAAATCTATAATCTTAATTTAATAGACATATCATTAATATAGATCTAAATCTATATTTGAATAATCTGGCTCTAGAAGAATACATCTACTCTAGGCTAGGTATACTGGTGTACAGTCTTTAATTAAATAATAATTATTAATTACTCTACTCTTAAAAAATCTTTATAATAAACATTTGGTTAAGGCCTGTTTAAAATTTATTATACCCCCCTTTTTATATTTGAAACTGAAGCACCAAAACCTGATGAAAGATCTAGTAAATCTTTGAAGAAAAGGCACTTAAAAACTGAAGACAAGCACAATTTAACTGAAAAATACTACATTCATCTGGATCGGAGCAGTTTGTCATTGCATTTTATTTTTAAATATTGCACTATTTAATAGAACTGGGAAATAATGTTGGGCAATGCTGTAATAACATTCGTATTTCTTATCCTCTGTGATATAAATATTCACTTAGGCACCCAGTTGTCAGTGTTCTGCATCAGTTTCTTTCTCTTGCTTTGTCTTGGTCAAAAAATGTTTAGACAATCTGAAATGAGCTACAGAAGAAATTGTTTACAACCACCTTGCTGTAGCTCTATGGAAACGAGACCAGCATATCCAATCACATGTCAAAAGCCGCCTACATCATCCTGTATCACAAGGAAGAGATACTTGGGTAGAAGATTATATATAAGTCTGGCTTCTCCCATTCGACCTGAAGATGAAAATTATGTCAACCAACCTAGAGTTAATCACACTGAAAATCGTGATGATAATTTTGTCAACCAACGTAGAATTGATCAAGCTGAATACAGTGAAGAAAATTGTGTCCATCAGCATAGAATTAAGCAATCAGAAAATGGTTATGCAAATTTTGTCAACCAAAGTAGAATTAATCAAGCTAAAAATGGCGGTGCTAATTTTGTCAACCAACATAGAATTAATCAAGCTGAATATAATTATGAAAATTTAGTCAACCAACACAGAATTAATCAAGCTGAAAATAGTGATGACAATTTTGTCAACCAACATAGAATTAATCAAGCTGAAAATAGTGATTACAATTTTGTCAACCAACGTAGAATTAATCAAACTGAAAATAGTCAAGAAAATTTTGTCCATCAGCATAGAATCAAACAATCAGAAAATAGTCAAGAAAATTTTGTCAACCAAGGTAGATGTAATGAAGCTGAAAATAGCTATGCAAATTGTGTCAACCAACATAGAATTAATCAAACTGAAAATAGTTATGCTTATTTAGTCAACCAACGTAGAAGTAGTAATCAGGCTGAAAATATTTGTCATAATTTTGTCAACCAATATAGAGTTAATCAAGCTGAAAATTATGGTGCAAATTTTGTCAACAATCATAGAAATCATCAAGCTGAAAATTGTGATAATTTTATCACTCAACATGGAGTTAATCTGTTTGAAAATAGTGATTCAAATTTTGTCAACCAACAAAGGACTAATCAAGCTGAAAATTGTTGTGGCAATTTTGTCAACGAACAAAGAATTAATCAAGCTGAAAATAGTGGTGATAATTTTGTCAACCAACATAGAATTAATCAAGCTGAAAATTGTGGCAATTTTCTCAATCAACGTAGAATTAACCAAGCTGAAAATAGTGATGGTAATTTTGTCAACCGACATAGAGTAAATCAAGTTGAAAATTGTTTTGGTAATTTTGCCAAGCAAAGTAGAATCAAACAAGCTGAAAATAATGATGCCAATTTTGTCAGTCAACATAGAATTAATCAAGCTGAAAATAATGATGACAATTTTGTCAACCAACATAGAATTATTCAAGCTGAAAATAGGGATGACAATTTTGTCAACCAACGTAGAATTCATCAAGCTGAAAATAATGATGCCAATTTTGTCAACCAACGTAGAATTAATCAAGCTGAAAATAATGATGCCAATTTTGTCAACCAACATAGAATTAATCAAGCTGAAAACAGGGGTGATAATTTTGTCAACCAACTTAGATTTAATGAAACTGAAACTGTGCTGTATTCAGAATCTTTAAGTCAGCATTGCGTAGTAGAATCCCATGTGCAAGCAAATGAACATTGTCCAGTGTTCTGCCATGCTGATGAATCACGACCCCAATCCAGGTCTTGTGATCTAGTTTCAACTGCTGTTACAAGGTTTGTATCAGTAGAAACTAAACTAATGCAACTCAAAGGTGGGGAGCAGATACCCAAGTCTTATTTTCATTCTGAGGCTGAAACTAATTTTATATCTGATATGGAGTCAACTGCTTATTTTGAACAAGAAAGTTCTTCTTCCTCAAGCGAAAGCTCTGGATTCGTCTCCCCTTTCCCATCAGATACATCTCACCAGAATAAGAACCAGAGAACAAAGAGCCGTGCTGATGAAGTTAGTATCAAAAAGGATCAGAAACTTTTAGATGGATTTGGAGCTTCGACTGATTCTAAGCTTCAATATTGGCAACAATATCAAGCGAGTGAAGTTATTGAATGTTTGTCAGATAATTCTCTACATAGTAGAACCTGCAATGAAACCCACTCTAAAGTAACTTCTGATGTGGTTAAAACCCATTCAACATCACCACATTCAACTTCTTGTCTAATTAAAAAACCATATGTAGAAAAAAACATTTCCCCATCCAATACAAATCTGGAAACTAAGCAGCAAAAAATTATGAAAAACATGGAAATGAAAAATGAACAGTTGAGGGACTCTGATAAATTAAATCGGGGAAATGTCGCATGCAAAGAATTGAAAGTGCATCCTGCCTCACCACCTCTGCAACAAATTCCTGTGACTACTTTATCTAAGCAAAGGCAGATGAAAACTAATGATAAATCAAACATGTTTCAAAATAAACTGAGAAACGTAAGTTCTATGTCTTTAAATCAGAAGGTGACTAGAACTAAAGGAATTAAAGAACATCTCAAATCTAGAAATAAAAAGATTCTCACTTCTCAGTGCAGGCAAGCAGCAGTCTCTAAATATTATCGTTTCTCGCAAATTAAACCGCAGGATGATAAAACACTATCTGGCATAAGCTCATTCAAATCAGTCTCTAAATTATCAACAAAGTCTAAAGAAGTAAACCTTCAATTAGGTACTGACTCATCTCAGTCAGTTTTTATGGAAGAGAAAAGCCTTATACCTTTTCCTTCTCCAAATTCTTCCTCTGATTACATTCCTCAGTCATCTTCCATGAAGCAAACTTCGCAGACCTGCAAATGTTGTAGTGAAATAAGTACAGTCAAATCATCTTCTGCAGATGACAAAGTGAATCATACTCAACCGGCTAAGACTAGCAAGGTTAAAAACATCAGTAGAAGAAATGTGACCAAAAGGACAAAATTAAGGAATGCAATGACATCTCCACTGGTGACCATGCCCTCTAGGAAATCCCAATCGTCAAATGGCCGACTGCAAGTCATGGATAAAAAAGTCATGACCTCCCCAGCCTTGACCTCTGTTTCTCAGCTGCATTCCTCCACCCACTCCCAGGAAGTGAGCCCCGTGAGCAGCGAGCCGCTCCCACCCGTGAAGTTCACTGGTTTAGATTTCAGCAAGAATGAACAACAACGTTTCTGCAAGGCCAGCATGGGGCCTGGTGATCTAAGCTGCAATATATCACTAGATGCTTGTCCGAGTGTTGTGGTTCAGTTTACCAGCTCCCCTCTCACTAAATCATTACAAAGTCATCGAGCAAATCAAGAAAGTAACACCCCTACGTCGGAATGGAGTTTTGAACTGTCTTGTGAAATACAGAATGATTAAGTCCTATTGCTGAAATAATACAATATTTAAAAGAAAAAAAAAAATATGTATGAAGATGTTTGGGGGAGAAAAGGAGGGGGAATTTCTTGGACAAAAATTTAGCCAATAATGTTGTCATCAATTCTTAATATTAAGTATATCATTCTGCGCATGAGTAATTTGCTTGCTTCATAATGTTTAGGAAAAAGTTGAAATAAACTGCTTTGTAGTCAAATGTGTAAAATTTCTCTATGGTGTTTAATTATTTTTTTTAATAATTACCTGTCAAAATTTGATTTGTTTTTTCTTTGATGTTCATGCAAATTCATCTTACTTTTTTTTATTTAGAAGAAAATGTTGGGCCACCAACACATATAAAGCACAGATTCCCAAGCTTTTTTGAGCGGCCACCCCTTTCTATAAAATCTAAGCAACCTGCAGCCCCCACCCCATAGATTGGGAACCCATGTTATAAAGCAAGATATTTTACCAGATACATGATCAGATAGATCATAATAGCTGATTCTCTTATAAATTACACAGGATGTTTATACAAAATATTTATAGCTGATGCTAATTAGAAAATGTGGAGTTGATTGCTAAAAATGAAGTTTTCCTTTCAGTTGAAAGTTATTTGTTCTTTAAGTATTGGTATTGTTTCTTGTAGAGAACATTTTAGTTTGTTCTAATTTTTCTCTAAAACGTTATAATTTTTTCATGTTACTTATATATGATATATAGTCGAGACAATTATTTTTTTAAAAAGTGAGGTTTTAATTTATTTATTAAGGAACCAAACAGAAAAAAAATTGTTTTATTTACTTTTATCAATTATATGTACACGAAGGCATAAAAATGAATGTATTAAGTGTTATCTCGTGTAGCCTATATTTCAAATTACTAAATTTACTGAAACCTTGAAAAGTTATAATACATATAGTTTGATAATATTCTGATTTAGCTGATAATATAAGGTCTATTTCATTGTTGCTGATATTTTATAGAACTTATTTTTGCTGATTCGTAAATAGTTCTACTTTGTATATAATTATATATAATAATATCTGTTTTGCTTTATATCTTAGCATTTACTGGCTGTAACCTGAACAATGGAGGGTGCCAACATATTTGTGTTGAAGGCTACTCTGGTCACTTCCACTGTAAATGTCGTGAGGGATACCGGTTGGTGGATGGCAAAACATGTGAAGGTAGGATGTGAATAAAATATTGTTGAAATAAGATGGACAATCTTGTAAAGGTAGGATGTGAATAAAAAATTGTTGAAATAAGATGGACAATCTTGTAAAGGTAGGATGTGAATAAAATATTGTTGAAATAAGATGGACACTCTTGAGGAGTTAGGATGTGAATAAAATATTGTTGAAATAAGATAAACAATCTTGAGGAGTTAGGATGTGAATAAAAAATTGTTGAAATAAGATGGACAATCTTGTAAAGGTAGGATGTTGATTAAAAAACCTTGTTGAAATAAGATAACAATCTTGAGGAGTTAGGATGTGAATAAAAAATTGTTGAAATAAGATGGACAATCTTGTAAAGGTAGGATGTGAATAAAAAATTGTTGAAATAAGATGGACAATCTTGTAAAGGTAGGATGTTGATTAAAAAACCTTGTTGAAATAAGATGGGCAATCTTGAGGAGTTAGGATGCGAATAAAAAAATTGTTGAAATAGGATGGCAAAAGGTAGGATATGAATAAAAATAGAGTTAAAATCAATATGCCAAGTTTAAATAGATAGAAATTATTTTAAAGCAATTCTTGCTGGATGAGGCAATTGAAACACAAAAGTGTTTAACATAAAAAGCAAGCTTTGTGAAGTTAAGATTTGAAAAGACAAACTTTTAATGTTCATTTGTTAAATATACATAAATTTATACGGATATAAACAAGAATGTGTTTTTTTAAGTTAATTAATTAAAAACAAAAATGTTTTTATTCAAACAGAATCATGGATAGATGGCTTGACTAAAATATATACGACTTTAAAAGTTTATGCTACATTAACAATCTATTGGAACATAACAATTATTTTAAATTATTATTTAGATAAATTTTTTAGCTATTACTATAAAAAATAAATTTAGCATCAAAAACCTTGACTCATAATTGTTCTACATCTGATAAGTTTTTTGTTTTGTCACACCAATGATTTCCCTTTAATGAGCCTATTTTGTTTGTAGAGGAGAACCCTTGTCAGAGCAACAATGGAGGCTGTGAACACAAGTGCACCAGTGAGAAAGGCAGAGCAGTCTGTCGCTGCTACCCTGGGTACTCTCTCTCACCCAATGGCAAGAACTGTGAAGGTAATTTCGCCTCTTCAGTACGCTGTTTTCCATCGTATGGCTCTCTTTTTTTAACTGATTTGGTGGGTTAATCATAATGATAAACGTACTGCTGAAATGCAGTTTTGCTGTAGAAATATTCTTTTTAAATTTAAAGCAAAAAATAGTTATGTAAAGATTACATTTTTTAAAAATTCAGTACCGTTACATGATGTTAGTTAAATCAGAGATGTATGCAATGATGTTGAGATTGATCTGAAATATAATTTTGGTGATGTTAGCAGACTAGGCTTCAATCACCCATTTTGTCAAATACGTAGCGGCAAATAGGACGTACGGACTTTACATATTACATAATGTGAAATTTTATTTACGCTGTTTATGGTAGTTTTGGTTTGTAAAAGCACTCTTATTAAATAAAGCAATTAACTTTAAAAATGCAAATTTTATACATATAATTGATGTCTTAATTAGTATTTGGATATATGGGTTCACTATGCATTCTAAGAGGAGTCCATTAGAAAAAAGTTATCTTGCTAAAATTGAGCTGACTATACTTTTTCACCAAGTCAGTTGTCTGATAAAACTAAATTTATCTTACTAGGTTCAATGAGTTGTTAAGTTGTTTTATATTTTAAGTTAGTAGTAAGCTATACTATAAAAAAGTATTAGGAAGATCCCACATAATGTTTTCATAGTGCAAATTGTAGACAAGATAATTTGATAATTTATAAGCTACGAAAAGATGGAAATAAAACACCAGCTTCTGTTGTATTATTTTATTAGTAAAGAACCAGATTTCTGGAGTATAGTGTTATTAATGTTAACAGATGTATCCTTTACCAATGGACTCATCATATAGTGCATTTATTGTTTAGAAATAGTTTTATTTTACTCAATGTGTAGATTATAGAGTTGTCTTTATTATCCTGCATGACAAGGGTTTATTCTTAGTTTATTATTTATTTGTCTAGTTTATTATAACTACAAATTTGTTTGTTCTTTTTTGTGTAGTAGTATATGTATATACAGGTATTGAACAATTTAATCTGAAGATTTTAAAAAACAAAAGGGTTTTGAAAATAAAGAGGTTCTGTTTGTTCTAAAGATATTGATGAATGTGTACAGAACAATGCTGAATGTCTGCACTCTTGCATCAACACGGTCGGCTCCTATGTCTGTGCTTGTACGCCAGGCTATCAGCTTGGTGTTGATGGTAAATCTTGCTACCGTAAGTATCGCACCAGGAACATACTTGAAGCTCCAGCACATTTTTTTAGATATTTTACTAAAACAAAATAATTAATTTTTTCTTTTACAAAATACTTTTTTCATTATACTTTTGCAACTTATTGGCTTATATAGTAGTTAGTTGTTTTTTTTTTTTTTTAAATTAATACTTTACCCTCTCTGGTATTTGAAAGGTTCAAACTCAAATAATTTAATTAGCTTAAAATCAGCTCATTTTTAATTAATTAAAAGCTTCTACTATTAGAAATATTACTAGAGCTTTTTGCTTTTTTGTAGTTTCCTGCAACAAACGCAGGCCTACTTATCATTAAGCTTGGCATATTTTATAGCGCATCTTGATTTTAAGTCTGTGATGTTCTGTTCTTAATTACTTTTAAGCATGTAAGGTTCGAAGTTTCATGCAGGATCAATGCTGGTTGATTCTAATTGTGCATGTTTAAATAAGTATTGTTGTTCAGTATGTTGTAAATTTTATGAAGCGCCCTATATTCAACTTCATTCAAATTGAAGTAACCACAAAACTTTATTAAATTTCACCTTTTTAAAAAAATACCAAACTCATGCTTAAAAATGAAATTAGGTTTTTAAAATGATTTCAGTACTTTTTTAGAACCTGTGATAAAAAGATTTGAATAACTTTACATCACTATCTTTTTATTCTTTAGTGAACATGTCATTACAAAAGTTGCTTAGAGAACAGAACTATGGAACTAGTCTTTATTAGCATAAATTTAAATAATTTACACAAATAAGGCTGTGGAGTTACCACTTAAGCCTTTGGCTTTGCTCAGCAATGAATATGAACTTATTCATATTTCTTTTTATCTTATTATGTGTAAAAGTAAACATCTATCTAAAAAAAGTTACATTTCTCTTTTTTAATCAAAAACTATATAAACTTTCTATTATAAGTTTGAAAAAGCATGAATGTGAAGTTTGTACTTTAAGTTGTGTTTACTTCGTGATTACTGTTTGTAAAAATGGATTACATGAACATAGTTGTTGTTCATGGGCGTCACATTTAACAGGATAAAGCAAGTTAAGCATTGAGCTAAAGTTTATATGCTGCAAAGTAATCTAGGCAATGCTTGGTGATGAATGATCAAACAAAACACACCAGGTGATGGTTTAGTTGTACCATAATTACATATTTTTAACTGCTGCATTATTTACCTTTGCCTGACTAATTTATTGCATTATCCCCCTTGTTGCTGTGTTGCTCCCATCCCTTGCAGCAGTGACTAACACCAGTAGAGACGAGGGAGAAGGTAATTTTATGCTTGTACTCTTTTTGTCTGGCTTGTGTTCATGTGTATCTGAAAACGTGTGTATTGCAGAAACGCTGACACTAAAATTGTCCTACTACTTTTATCTATAGTCCTTAGTATACTGCTATAGTACACATTGAACAAAGTATTGACAAAAAATATAAAACGGAATAATTACAAGATCCAGGAGTACAATTATATCAACTAAACATCCACTTTTTAAAATTGTCCTATTACTTTTATCGATAGTCGTTAGTATACTGCTACAGAACTCATTAATTATTGACCAAGTCTATAAAGCAATTACAAGACCCAGGAGCACAATTTTATCAACCAAATATCCATTATTAAAATTAAAATAGTGGCTCTGAATTGTAAAAATTATTTTAAAAAAATAAATGTTTTTAATTTTCCATATATCGTGAGGCTTCTAACACTGAATATTTTACTATCAACTGTTTAAAGTTACCAGTGATCAAATAATAATTATAACATAGTGGATAAATGCCTGAATCACATTTTTTGGGTCAGTAGAAAGGTTTCTTGAAATCTAGCCTAGACATTAGCTATATCCTGGCAAATTGACTCCATTAAATTTTGTTTTTTCCATTATTATGTATTTGTGAAGAGATAAAAGATTATATAGTTTAAGCCTAAGAAAATGGGTAGAAGTAACTTGCTGAAGTATAGATTGAACTCTTTTCTGTCTCTTATAAGCCTATAATGTGGAATCTATGCTGGAGAGGCTGAGACTACAGCATAACCAATCTGGTGACGTTTGTTGTTTCTAACAGTCCCAGTAGGCTTATCTGTTCCTCTGTTGCATTACCAAGTTAGGGGTTATGTTGTAGCTTCCTGTTTGATGTACAGCGGGTGTCTGACGCGCCCCTGGCACAGTTTTGGTTTCATCAACTGCACTTATTCAATGTTTAATGTCTCATAATGTCCGATATATTATAATTAGGTGGATGTAATTCTTTAGATCTGTAATTTAGGCCTATTTTTTTTTCTCTTAGTCTGTACAACTTAAGGTTGATAATTCATTGGAAAATATGTTCTATCGTGTATTAGCCTTATCAGTTTTTTTAAGGTTAATATTTTGTTTAAAAAATTATGTTTAATTATATATTAGCCCTTTTAGTGCTACTCACATTTAAAAAAATATTTATTTTTCTCAACTAGCTTGTAACCGTAATATTCCAGGCCAGTCTTCATTTTGGCTTAAATATTGACTTTTGTGTTGAGTTTTCTGTCTTAAATGTAAACTTACTAGTTTTATACTTACATTGAAAGTGAGGCTCAAAATAAATGTATGGTCTATTTTTAAACAAAAACATACATGTTCTCGGTGTTACTTTCTTTTACATTAATATCAGTTTTTCTTACTCCAAAACAATTATTTTTGTATTAGCTATTTATAATGATTTCAAACCCAATAAATGTTTTTGGTTAATATAACTTCGTGTAGCTATTAACTGTATTAAACTTAACATGCACTCAAAGAGAAATTAAATATATTTTTGGCACGACCTGATCTCACTTTACACCAATTATTATTAACAGTACTTCAAATTATAAAGCAAGTTAAATTATATTTTTAAAAAAAAACAATTTTTTGTTAACAAATATAAATCAATCTATATAACATTTTAAAACATCAGAACTTATATTTCTTATAAGATATCAGCCTATTCACATTTTATTAGTGCTTGTATTCTTTCAAAAACAAAGTGATCTATCCCCTCTGATTGAAGCTTTACTTTGCAGGTATTGAGATAGAGGTAGTGGACTATTGTGCTCTCAGTAATGGCGGATGTGCCCACAAGTGTAAACACAGTGAACATGGTCCCATCTGCTCATGCAGGCAGGGATACAAACTGCAGGCTGACAGCAAAGCTTGTGAAGGTAGGCCTATGTGTCAGTCATTGTTACAAATTACATTTGAAATCATGTGTCGCTATTGCAGGTTACATGTTTATCATGTGATGTTTTATCTTTACTCCACAAGACAGTACATAATTCTATTCAAATTAAAATGTAATTAGCTATAAAGATGTAAACAAGACAATAATGAAATACAATTTACACCTGCTAATTATTGTGTAAAAGTCTACATTTGCTTCAATAATTAGAATATAAAACTGACATTGGTAGTTATATTTGTATTTTCTTGAACAAATCTAAAATATCTAATATTGTGACTACATGTTATAACAAATGGTCTGATACATGTAACAATTCAATCTGATTATGCTCTACACCAAATATCTGTGCTTTGATTCCTGTAATGAGCTCTCTACCCACCAAACGCTATGATTCCAGACATAGATGAGTGCACAGGCCCAGACAAATGCTGCGCTGACCTCTGTAACAACAACCCTGGTGGCTACACCTGTGGATGCAGATCTGGGTTTTTACTTAACATGGATGGGTGTAACTGTGATGGTTAGTACTAAACTTATTATATTTAGCTTTTCTCATGGTCATTACACATTTGAAGTATTAAGATGAGTAGTTTTTTGTTGTCATTCTTAATTCAGTTAATTTTTTTTCAAGAGCTGCAACTCTAGCTTACCTATTCTCCAGGATTTTAAATATAGTTACATAGCTAGACACTGGTGCCTTTATAAAATATATCAAAGAGTCGCCAAAATCATTAGAGGGTATTTTTGCTTTTAAACAATGATGTCTTGCAAACATTTGTTTAAACATATTTCATGATAATTATATTATGATCATGGATATTATATTTAAAAACATCATTATTGAATGTTAATTGATTTTGTTCATCGTCCCTATTAATATATTTTATACTGCGATTATTATGATTTTATTGTGAGGATATTCCAAGTGATAAATGTGTTGAAGCTCTGATAGACAAGCACTTAACACATTGTTTACTTCTACCACTTGATGCATGAATACCAGATATAACAGTGGCTGTTTCTGTTGACAGATATCAACGAGTGTCTGAATGACAATGGAGGCTGCGAGCAGCTGTGTGTCAACGCTGTTGGGAACTACAGCTGCGTCTGTAACACAGGATTTATTGCTCACGGCAAGACATGCATTCGTACGTATTTTGTATGTCTTTTTTTGTCTTTCAGCTGTTAATGTTGGCTGAATGTTACCTCAGTCTTAATTCATTTCAACAGCATTCTAATTTTAAAATCTTGGAACTTAAATCTGTGAATTAGCTTAATGGAAAAAAAAATAGTTAGCTTCTTGCTGATATTCATTTTTAAAAAAAGCATACTTGTGTTAGTAAACTTATATTTAGATCAGATAAAAGTTTAAATTAATTCAAAACAAAACCTTCCAATGTAAAGAATTTTATATTTGTTTTTGTGTCATTGTCACTTATAACCAGGGTGTTGTACTTTTATCTGTATATTCTTTGATTCAAACTGTTCCCATGTAAATTGTTTAATGTGAAAAGGATACATTTACATTATGCCGCATTTATAGCTAGCTAAATATTGCATGAATAATATTTTTTTTTTACATTGAGCAGCTTATTTTGAAAATTAATTAATGTTGTGTTCTTAATTGATGTCTTTTTTTGAAGATGAATATACTTGTAGACTTGACGTCTTATTTTGAAGATGAATATATTTGTAGAGTTAATTGATGTCTATTTAGAAACTGAATATCTGTTGTAGATTTAATTGTTGTGCTTGCTGTTGTGTCTTGATAAGCCACAGAAGCTCTTATTGATGACCCTGGCCCACAAAGAGGAGACCTCCCCAGGATAAGGTTCCAGAACACACCCAAACCAATCCCCGTTGAAAGTCCGGACCTGGTTGATAGCTTTTCTCAAGAGTTAGCTGACCACCAGCACATTTTTAGTCAGTACATTTTTTTTTGGTCTTTTTCTTACTGTTTGGTTGTCTTCAAAACTAATTCATGACACAGACAATGGTTGTGCATTTTTGAATGACCTTTGAAGTAGAATACTAAGAGCTAATACTTAACCTCATCCCTTCTGACCTAACCTTATTCTCATTCAAGTTTCTAATCTGAGGATAGCCCTTTTCAGATAAACTTAATGGAAATAAATTACTTTTTTTAGCATGATGTAGATAGACTTTACAATCAGTTAAAACAAGAATTCTGATTATGGCCTTTGTTAAAATTCCTTTCCAGATTTTAATTTAATTATTCATTAAAAAAAAAGAATTAAACTTTAATATATGAAGTCTTTTGCCCAACAGAAATATCAGAGAAACTTTTGTAAAATATAATTATTTGACCATTAAAAACTTAAGTAATAAGTTCTTTATGCATGGTTGTGCACCCCTTACCTCAGCATTACATTTTTGCTTAATGTTTATTTTTGCTTCCACTATATAGGCCTATTAAATTTTATACAATTCTGATTGCACTAAATTTCTATATACAGTACTTTAGGTTTTAATTGCTTTTTAATTGTGATGTCACCTATATGATAGCTTACTTTAACACAACTAAATATTCTTGCATGAAATTAAATTTTATTTGAATTTTTTAACTTGATAAAATGTGTCCACATTCTAGCTTAACCCTCCTGTTCCTTAAGATATCTCAAGACTGGCTATTTTTCTTTTTCCAAAATTATTAGAGCAGAAAGTTAAAATCATCTCTCTTGTTTTTTTTTGTTTTTTTTTTGCATTTATAATTGCATCATAAACATAACTATTAACATGTGTAAGTAATTTTTCTTTTATAATCCACTTCCCTGCTAAAGGAAATCACACTGGTAAGTTTGCAGTTATACCCTTGGTGTCTCTGTCTTCATTTTTTATTATTTCTACTCAGTGTAGTTTAAGAATATTGGGGACGTGTTTTTTTTCTCTATTTTTTAAGAACTTATCATGAAGACATTATAATACAAGTTTTCAAGTCAGTAGCTTACAATGAATGATTTGATAGTAATTAGTTTTTATATATATAAATAGCAACATAAAAATAATCATCTAAGAACTCTTCAATTGAAAAAATTAGAATTATACAAAGAACAATTTACATACTTGTTTTTGCTTGTTAATTAAAGTTACTTTTGGCTAATTTATTTTAACGAAGATTGGTGCTCCTTTTATATTTTCTCTGATTGGTATTAATCTGTCTTGTAACTACTGCACAAAGTTGACTAACGCATGCAGTCCAATCACATTTAATCTTTTTTCTTCCTAAAATGTTGTTACTGCACCTCCTAACAGGGCTGGAACCAGAAAGATTGAAAGGTTAAATGTCAAAATTATTGTAGCTCATGTTTAGTTGAATATTTATTGTCACAGTTTAAAAAGTGTAGTGGCAGATAGCTGGTGGAAAGTAGATTTTGTTATAAATTTTTAAATGGAATATTTTTTGCTTGTTTTAATTAGAATACCATAATCAGTTTGTTTTGGTTAGAATAACACAGGAATTTAAAAAATCATCACTATATTGTTCAAGGGAGATTACCATGTAAATTGTGCTTTAAATTTAAAAAAAAAATTACTTCCCTTGTGTCACATAAAAGTAGCTATGGCATAATTGTGAGCTATAATCTAAAAATTTAGATTTTTTATTTATTTGAGAAATCAACATTCTAGTTAAAGTGAAAAATAATTATTTGAAATAAATTGTGTTTAATTTTATAAATTAAACATGTGCTTTTAATTTTATTAAATTTTTTTATTATAATCTTGTTATCATTCTGTTTATAGCTTATGTTTTCTTTCTTGGGGTTGTATATAGTATACTTTTATTTTCAAAACCTCAACTTCATATCACAGTTGCCTGATTCATTTGTTTTTGGGTTAGTTGTTCCTTTGTATTACGGCAAAATGGCCATGTTCTGTTTTACTTATTTTATTCGTTTTGACTAAACAAATTGGTGAGAGCTAGATTTATGCTATTGCTCGCTGATTTAGACAATATGACAATTTTACCTTTTTTTTTATTTTAATGTTAGAAAAAGGGATTCATGTAGTAATAAATATAGTCTCAAGTTCTGATAAATATAAATATTTATATAAATATAAAGTGTTGGTTTTATCAGGGATGTGACTGTTCTGAATTTCTAGATTTCTGAATTTTTCGTCCGATTTTAATTTTTAGTCCAACATTTTCCACAGATATTTTTTATTTTTTAATGTTGCCATCCAGTTAAAGAAATTTGCCTTTCACTATCCTAGATTACTTAACCACAAGCTATTCTAAAAACATTAAAGTACATGGTTACTATCAGATTTATTTTTGGCTCACTATTTTAGTATTAAATTTTTTTTCTCCAGTGCTCTATTCCTTGAACATTAATAATTGGCCCTTTTTAATTTCAGTAATTTGGGTAATTTTATTGACCATCACATTATTTAAAAAAGTTAATTACAAATAATTTTGGATACAAATTAGCTTAAAAAAAGCATCGAGGCTGGTCTGAACTATTTACGCTTTTTTTTTCCTGTTCTGGTCACATCACTGATTAATGTAATTTATGTACAAAGTAACATTTTAAAATCTTCCTTTTTACTAATACCATTTGCATTTTTTTTTATATTGAGCTAGATCTAGATCTACATCTGTCTGCTTGTTGCATGTGTTATGTTCCTTAACTCCAGCTTTCCTATATTCTATATGGGTTATCTCTTTTTTATATAACTATCATTTTATAAAGTTTTTTAATGTCAGTATATTCCATTCTGTTTTATTTTCATTTCCATTTTTAGTTTTTTTAATGATTACATTAGCATAAATAGTACATCTAAAAAAAAGGTCAATTTTTTTCTTGTCTATGTGTTACCTAGAGATTGAGACAACTCAAGTTGTTAATTGATGTGATGCTAAATCACTAATCTCAACATTAACATAATTACCATAGATTTGAATTTGATTTGTGCTTGATTTACCAGGGTGTATTATGGGCACGTTTGGACCGGACTGTTTGTACACGTGTAAAAATTGTGTCAACGGCGCCAAGTGTAATGCCCAGCAGGATGGCTGTGTGTGCAAGCCTGGGTGGAGAGGTGTGCTGTGTAATGAAAAATGTCTAGAGGTCAGTCACTTAAGTCATTATTTATAACTGTAAAGTAAAGTTTCCCTTTCAAACCTGACGGTCTATGGGGCAAGTGAAGTTCACTTGTTTCACGCTAGGGAAAGTAAAGGTGGCTGGGCATAGTGCTGACCACACTATCTCTTCATATGCCAGGGTCACAGAAACAAGTGAACTTATTTATAACTGTGTTGTTTAAATATTATTATAATAAAATAAACATGCATATTACATGTAACATTAGAAATTCAAAATTCAATGGGACAGGTGAAATAATTTTTTTATTATTGTGAGGTGGGGGTTGTGGTGGGAGAAACTTTGAGTAGCACAAGAGTATGCTCAACTATCTTTTGTTTCATTCTGGAGTGGGAAAGAGATATTTGGATTAAGAAACCCCACACTGTGTGTTAGTATCTTAAGTGTTCAAGACTCAATAAAGCTTGGTGTCGTGTGGGTGTGGTCTCTGGTCCTACAGAATCAAGCCAGAGGTTGAGGATTTAACTGCCAACAGCCTGCATTCTGATCTGACCAGCCTGTCCCTATTTTTTTGGGGGATGGGGGGGGGGGGGAGCTTTTTATGACTGATTGATAGTCTTCTTCTCTCTTCGTTATTAATTGTAATGTGAGAAGGGATTTTCACCAACAAATTCACAAATTATGAATAACTGAAAAGTAGAAAAAACAAGAACTAAATAGCGGCGTATGATATGCCGCGGGTCGGCTCATATGTTATACTAGTATGTGTAATGTTGTTAAATGACGTGTCCACCTGTCAAGCACCATAAGCCGTTGCCTCCGATTTCAGCCTGCCTTTCTCTTTGTATTTGCTGCCATAGCCTTTATCCAATCAAGAGCAATTTATAAGGCAGCAGTTGTTTGGTTATGCAGTTTTCTCTCCTAGATGAGTAGCTGTCCCCAACTATCGAGCCTCATCTGCCCAGGGGTTTTTTACTCTGGACTTTTTGATTTAGCAGCCGTACCACGCAGACCTCCTTCATGAAGTCTAAGTCATAAAATCTTTCATTATAACCAGTCATCTAAATGTTCAATTTGCTTTTTTTTTCTCATATAAAATACAAAAATAAAGAAACAAAAACTTAAAAATTGATTTCACCATTTTATTTTCAATACTAGGGCACATATGGAATTGACTGCAATAGCATTTGCCGATGTAAGAACGGAGGAGAGTGCAATCATGTGACTGGTGACTGCAAGTGTCCACCTGGGATAGAAGGGGAATTCTGTGAGGATGGATGCCCACCTGGTTTCTATGGCGACAAATGTGACAAGGTGATATTTAAGTTTCATTTAATTGAATTTAATGTCAGTCTTTATTTTTGCATGTATAATTAAGGTGCATTTCAATTGATATAATTTTAAAAGAGCTCTGTTGAATTTTAATTCAATATTAATTTGCTTATTCAGTTAATAAAAAAGAACACAAATAAAAATGTGTTTTATGTTATACTAGTTTGTGTAATGTTGTTAGATGACATTAACAAAGATAGATTAAAACAGATCTTGAAAGTAGGATTAGTATTTTATTCCAGTTGTTATTCAGATAATAGGGCTGGTATTGTAGGTCACCAACCAGTTCTATGGCTCAATAAAACCTGCATGAGCCATAGAACTGGTTGGTGACCTACTTACCAGCCCCATTGTTTAAAGGCACCAAGCATGTCTTGAATATCAAGGGGCACAACTGTAATAATTCTTGATGGCATGACTTACATAGTTTGTTCCCTTATCAATTACAACCCCCTTACATTACTAGTAAATAAAGCATGAGGTCCCAGTTATTGCAGTGATTACCCTTTTGTTACAGATATGTCCCCAGCAGTGTGCCAGTGGCTACTGTAACAGGAAATATGGTTTGTGTAATTGTAAGCCAGGAAAGTTTGGTCCATCCTGCAACCAGCCTTGTCCCTTGTTTACATTTGGCTCCAACTGTCTGCAGCAGTGTAACTGTAACACACACAACTCCGAGGGCTGTGATGCAGAGGTCAGTCGCTAAATTTTATTCCCCTTTTATACACTTCATTTTTTTTTTAATTTTTTTTTTTTTTGCTAAAATGTAAGTTATTACCAATGTTTGAATCTAAAATGTTAAACAGTGTACTGAACAGTCTGATGTTTGTATTGAAAATGTTAAACCGTGCTTTGGACAGTATGATGTTTAAATGTAAAATGTTAAACCGTGCTTTGGACAGTCTGATGTTTAATTGTAAAATGTTAAACTGTGCTTCAGTGTAATGTTTGAATGTAAAATGTTAAACCATACTTTAGACAGTCTGATGTAAAATTACATTATTATTCAATAAATCTAGACACAAGAGAAAACAATTAAAACAATTAAATTTTTTAATAAATTATATTAGTTACTTCCCATATATAAAAAAAAAAAATCAAAGAAACCAAGGGATACAACTTATAACTGAAATCAAAATATATTTTAAATATTGAAAAATCATATAATGGTAAAAATTCTAGATCATTTGCTTGTTATTTTTTAAACCAAGTATTTAGAAAACTTTTCTGTCATTTTGTCTATTTATTATACTTTTAGAATTAATTTTAGAGTTATCGCTTGACTCTAGTTTAATTAGAAAAATATTAGCCATATTAAATATACAATATCTAGACTTGCAAAAGATTATTTAATTCATAGTTCGTTCTGTTCCGGCAATATGGGATACATCTTTTGTTATTTTTTTACAAAGTAAATTATCATTATTTAAAATGTTTAAAATAAATATAAATAAACCGGGAGTGATCTCCCCTAAACTTTCTCGAATATTCTTATATAAAATAACAGGGGATGGGAACTCGGGCTATAGACATGATTTTTAATCCATTTTAAAATACTTAAAGTTTTAAAAATAGAATAAAATCTCGTAGACACATTAATTGCACACCAAGTGAACGCCAAATAAACAAGTTAATTAAAAAGTCTAGTGACAATTTTAGCGCAATTTCCTTATGTTATCTAAAAATAGCTCTGTCGAAGCGTAAATGAAGAGCAGAGTTAGTAAAATCATTGGTTAGTTATTAAAGCGTTTTTTTTTTTAAATTTTTTTTTTCAGTATTTTACATGTTTTATTTACAATAGAGTTACATGACTAAAAACCATTGCGCGCCTACTGAACGTGATGACGCAGCCATTGAACGTGATGGCGCAGCTATTGAACGTGATGACGCGTGTGGTGTGGTTGGAAAAAATGCCTACTAATTCGGTCCAAATTTTAATTAATTAAAAAAAAATGTGTGACCGAACGAAAGGATATTTTTGAAATCTTTCTTCAGCAATATTGTTCTAAATTATGGCAGGAATCGATTGGTACATGTTTGAAGTCGCTAAGTGGTCAGGTTGTCGAGATATGGGCCAAAAACTGCATTTTTTCGAGGTTTTTTGGCTTTTCCAGGAAATACATGAAAGAAACCCGGATTTTTTATGGCCTATGCTCATTCTCGTAACTTGCTTAACATAATTGCTTTTGGAACTAGTCATCGATATTGCTTCGTTGAGGAGGAGATACGACTTAAAGCCCGGACAAACATTCATCCATACATTCATTCATCCATTCATTCATCCATCCATTCCCAGAAATGACGAGTTAATAAACGCAATTCTCCAGAATGGAAATTGCGCTAAAAAGCGTATAATAGTGCGCAATATTATTAGTACTTTTAAAATTTACATTAGTTTTTTTTAAATCGGAAGTAGCGTAAATTACTACTTCCAGTCAACGGAAATTACTCAAAATTTAACAGAATGTAGAGAATTTGATCTTTTACTTACATGTGAAATTTCATTTATTTATCTGAAATAGTACTGAAGTTATAGGATTTTGAAAAATTCAAAGTAGGAAAAGTACCACTTCCGGTTATCGGAAATCGCTCAAAAGTTGTTACGGATCTACGATTTTGATAAAATACTTATATATGAAATTTCATCAACCTAGCTGTAACGGTACTCAAGTTATCGTGTTTACACACGGACAGACAGACAGACATACGGACAAGATTGCAAAATTATGTTTTTCCGTATCAGTGAGGTGTAAAACGTCGAGATTTGTAAAAATCTCGATTTTTTTTTTTTTTTTGCACGATTACAAGACTTTCTCTATACTTCGTATATACGAGAAAGTAAAAAAGGGGGAGGACAGCAATAGATATAGCTGTTTGAAAGAAAACAATGTTTGATTTGATGTGTCTCATTGTACACAACAGATCATCCAGCCAGGCTGCTTATAATATTTAAAATATTATTTTCTTTAAAATCCTGATTTTTCAACATAAAGGGTTTCTTGCACTTTTGGATACTTTGTCCATTTTGTATTAAGAAAATAATAACGTTTATGAAAGAAAAAACTTTCATGTGTTTAAAATACCATTTTTATGACCCCATTCAATTAAATAATAATCATTTTTTCTCAATCTTATAAGCCTGATTAATTGGCAGAAATGCTATTAATTTTTAGCTTTACCCTATCAAACAAGAGCATGCATCTGTAAGCCTGGGTATGTTGGGTAAATGTGTTAGTCACTTGATTCTATCAGACAGGAGCCTGTATCTGTAAGCCTGGCTATGTTGGGTAAATGTGTTAGTCACTTGATTCTATCAGACAGGAGCCTGTATCTGTAAGCCTGGCTATGTTGGGTAAATGTGTTACTTGATTCTATCAGACAGGAGCCTGTATCTGTAAGCCTGGCTATGTTGGGTAAATGTGTTACTTGATTCTATCAGACAGGAGCCTGTATCTGTAAGCCTGGCTATGTTGGGTAAATGTGTTTGTCACTTGATTCTATCAGACAGGGGCCTGTATCTGTAAGCCTGGCTATGTTGGGTAAATGTATCACTTGATTCTATCAGACAGGAGCCTGTATCTGTAAGCCTGGCTATGTTGGGTAAATGTATCACTTGATTCTATCAGACAGGAGCCTGTATCTGTAAGCCTGGCTATGTTGGGTAAATGTGTGACTTGATTCTATCAGACAGGAGCCTGTATCTGTAAGCCTGGCTATGTTGGGTAAATGTGTGACTTGATTCTATCAGACAGGGGCCTGTATCTGTAAGCCTGGCTATGTTGGGTAAATGTGTTACTTGATTCTATCAGACAGGAGCCTGTATCTGTAAGCCTGGCTATGTTGGGTAAATGTGTTACTTGATTCTATCAGACAGGGGCCTGTATCTGTAAGCCTGGCTATGTTGGGTAAATGTGTTACTTGATTCTATCAGACAGGGGCCTTTATCTGTAAGCCTGGCTATGTTGGGTAAATGTGTTTGTCACTTGATTCTATCAGACAGGGGCCTGTATCTGTAAACCTGGCTATGTTGGGTAAATGTGTTACTTGATTCTATCAGACAGGGGCCTGTATCTGTAAGCCTGGCTATGTTGGGTAAATGTGTTACTTGATTCTATCAGACAGGGGCCTGTATCTGTAAGCCTGGTTATGTTGGGTAAATGTGTTTGTTACTTGATTCTATCAGACAGGAGCCTGTATCTGTAAGCCTGGCTATGTTGGGTAAATGTGTTACTTGATTCTATCAGACAGGAGCCTGTATCTGTAAGCCTGGTTATGTTGGTTAAATGTGTTTGTTACTTGATTCTATCAGACAGGAGCCTGTATCTGTAAGCCTGGTTATGTTGGGTAAATGTGTTACTTGATTCTATCAGACAGGAGCCTGTATCTGTAAGCCTGGCTATGTTGGGTAAATGTGTTACTTGATTCTATCAGACAGGATCCTGTATCTGTAAGCCTGGCTATGTTGGGTAAATGTGTTTGTCACTTGATTCTATCAGACAGGAGCCTGTATCTGTAAGCCTGGCTATGTTGGGTAAATGTGTTACTTGATTCTATCAGACAGGAGCCTGTATCTGTAAGCCTGGCTATGTTGGGTAAATGTGTTACTTGATTCTATCAGACAGGAGCCTGTATCTGTAAGCCTGGTTATGTTGGGTAAATGTGTTACTTGATTCTATCAGACAGGAGCCTGTATCTGTAAGCCTGGCTATGTTGGGTAAATGTGTTACTTGATTCTATCAGACAGGAGCCTGTATCTGTAAGCCTGGCTATGTTGGGTAAATGTGTTACTTGATTCTATCAGACAGGAGCCTGTATCTGTAAGCCTGGCTATGTTGGGTAAATGTGTTACTTGATTCTATCAGACAGGAGCCTGTATCTGCAAGCCTGGCTATGTTGAGTAAATGTGTTACTTGATTCTATCAGACAGGAGCCTGTATCTGTAAACCTGGCTATGTTGGGAAAATGTGTTACTTGATTCTATCAGACAGGAGCCTGTATCTGTAAGCCTGGCTATGTTGGTTAAATGTGTTTGTTACTTGATTCTATCAGACAGGAGCCTGTATCTGTAAGCCTGGCTATGTTGGGTAAATGTGTTACTTGATTCTATCAGACAGGGGCCTGTATTTGTAAGCCTGGTTATATTGGGTAAATGTGTTACTTGATTCTATCAGACAGGGGCCTGTATCTGTAAGCCTGGCTATGTTGGGTAAATGTGTTTGTCACTTGATTCTATCAGACAGGAGCCTGTATCTGTAAGCCTGGCTATGTTGGGTAAATGTGTTACTTGATTCTATCAGACAGGGGCCTGTATCTGTAAGCCTGGCTACGTTGGGTAAATGTGTTTGTCACTTGATTCTATCAGACAGGAGCCTGTATCTGTAAGCCTGGCTATGTTGGGTAAATGTGTTACTTGATATCAGACAGGGGCCTGTATCTGTAAGCCTGGCTATGTTGGGTAAATGTGTTTGTCACTTGATTCTATCAGACAGGAGCCTGTATCTGTAAGCCTGGCTACGTTGGGTAAATGTGTTTGTCACTTGATTCTATCAGACAGGAGCCTGTATCTGTAAGCCTGGCTATGTTGGGTAAATGTGTTTGTCACTTGATTCTATCAGACAGGAGCCTGTATCTGTAAGCCTGGCTACGTTGGGTAAATGTGTTTGTCACTTGATTCTATCAGACAGGAGCCTGTATCTGTAAGCCTGGCTATGTTGGGTAAATGTGTGACTTGATTCTATCAGACAGGGGCCTGTATCTGAAAGCCTGGCTATGTTGGGTAAATGTGTTACTTGATTCTATCAGACAGGAGCCTGTATCTGTAAGCCTGGCTATGTTGGGTAAATGTGTTTGTCACTTGATTCTATCAGACAGGAGCCTGTATCTGTAAGCCTGGTTATGTTGGGTAAATGTGTTACTTGATTCTATCAGACAGGAGCCTGTATCTGTAAGCCTGGCTATGTTGGGTAAATGTGTTACTTGATTCTATCAGACAGGAGCCTGTATCTGTAAGCCTGGCTATGTTGGGTAAATGTGTTGCTTGATTCTATCAGACAGGAGCCTGTATCTGTAAGCCTGGCTATGTTGGGTAAATGTGTTTATCACTTGATTCTATCAGACAGGGGCCTGTATCTGTATGCCTGGCTATGTTGGGTAAATGTGTTACTTGATTCTATCAGACAGGGGCCTGTATCTGTAAGCCTGGCTATGTTGGAGACCTCTGCAATCAGCAATGTGATGAGAACTACTTTGGCAAAAACTGTGAGAAAAAATGTGACTGCTCCGCTGGTACTAAGTGCAATCACGTGACTGGTCATTGTTTGGTGGAGTGTCCAGCAGGATGGACAGGGCCCAGATGTACTGAATGTAAGTTTTATGTTATTTAGTTTGTGTTCAGTGTTGTATTTTTTAATTGTAAATAACCATTTACTTTTGCATGAGTTCATCGTTAAACTGATAAATTCCATTGAAAAAAAAAATTTAAAGTTCCACGAGCAAGTTTTAAGTTCAACTTAAAGAAAAATTAGATGCAGGAAAATATAATTTCAAAATCACAAAAATTTAGTTCTATTAACCCTTCGCTGTCTTGTGCAGCAGAAAAATAAGATGCTGGAAAATATATTTTCAAAATCACAAAAATTTAGTTCTATTAACCTTTCGCTGTCTTGTGCAGCCCAAAGGGCTGAGATTTTTTTAAACGTCAGTATGCTGCAGAAAATGCTGTTTAGTCTACAATTTTTTTTACTATTAAGTTCTTTTAGCTGCTTTTTATTTTAAATGTAAGTAACATCGTAATTTAAAATATGCACGATAAACTGCATCCATTATCCTCTGTGAATTGCATTGTTTAAAACTTGAAACTTATCTGGATTTTTCAAAAATAAATTACTCTTGCGTAGAAAAAAATAAGAGTTTATTTCCCTTAGTTCAGTCATATGTCAAGAATTTTTTTTTACACTTGGATAGTAAAGGGTTAAGTATTCATCAAACTCGTGAATTAAATGTATTTGTACTTAGAAAAAGGCTAAAATATATATAAGTGGAAATTGAATTTTTAAAAACAACTCATGCATGCTGTCATTTTCATATCATTTCTGATTTAAATTGCTTGTTAGTTTAACTAAATGTTTTTAATGTGTAAGATAGAGCTTGTATTAACTAGTTATTTAGATATCTGTCTTTGATTACGTCTTTGATTACTTATTTTTTTAATTCTGCTTTTTGCTAACCCTAATTTGTTTTTATTTTCTTTCTTTTTATATATCAACTGCTACCTTGTGTCCTTATTTTTAAAAATCCCACACCCTATATTTACTCAATCCCCCACACCATAAATTGATATAACATTCTCCACCCTTTATTGAATAAATACCCCACACCTTAAATTTTCATCATTTCCCACACCATAAATTTGATTACATTACCACTTAAACCCATGATCACCCCCACCCCCATTCCAAAAAATACAAATTCTGTCCACTGTCCACTTACCACCAAAAATGGACTCCCCACCCTCCCCTAACTCAGCCTGTCCCCTGGGGAAACATGGCAAGTATTGCCTGGAAGATTGTAAATGTGAGAGCAACTCATGCGACCCTGTGACTGGAAAATGTATTTGTCATGCTGGTTTTCATGGCAGAACCTGCCGGAAACGTGAGTTGGTTTGTTTGTTTTTATTCTCGTCCAGATCTTCCACACTCATGCCAACTATCTGGCTAATATATTAATCTATTTTTGGGAGTATCTGTATTTGAATTTAAATTATACAATAAGATACAACATTCATATAAAGTAATTTATTTTGGGATTTCTCTTATAATGTTATTTAAATTATACAATAAAATGATTTTAGTTAATCAGTGTATTTTGTGAGATCCTTTATTAGAATTTTATTAGAATTAAAATTATACAATAAGATTATGTAATATTCAAATAATTCGATGTATTTTTTTTGGGAGTTCCATTATTAGAATTTAAACTATTATATGATTCAATGTATAAATAAATAAATCCATTTTTTGGTATGTTTATCAGAAATTCATAAATTGATACATTGTATTATTTATTTTCCCAATACAATCGTTAAAATAATTAAATGACTGGTTCGTGCTGTACTTATTTTGTTAGCTAGTTGTTCGAAAAAAACTATTTTCTAGTTACTTTGAAAGTGCTTTTGTTGTAATAGTTTTTAACCTTTTGTTAAGTGTCGCAATATATGTACAAATAGATTGTATGTTGTAGTAAAAAGGTGTTTTTTGTTCTTTTTTCAAAAGACTAACATATATTTCCATCCTAAAAACTAAAAACTAAATTTAGATTTAAAATACTGTGCCTATAGATATAAATGAATATAATCCTCTTGGCCACAGATCTACAAAGTTTAATTAAACTATATAATTTAAATAAAAGTCATATACATTCGCATTAAAAAAACTTTTACTTTAAAAAGGTAGAGGTCAGTTTATTTCTTTAGATTTTGAAAAATATTCTGTGGCGAGCACAAAGCTTCATTGCCTTCACCTAAATTATGTTTGCTACCTATGTGCTAGGCGGCTCAAGCCAGACTTTTTTCAGCAGTAGATTTAGGATTGGTGGTGTAATTGTACCATCACATGAGACTACAGATACATAGAAGTTAACACAGGTCTAAAAAGTATAATTTAAATTATATAATTCAAATAAAAGTCATATAAATTCAACATAGGTACCTATGTGCTAAGCCACTCAATCCATAGACTTGCTTCAGTAGCAGATGTAGGATTGGTGGTATACTTGTGCCATCACGTAAAATGACAGATAGATAAAAGTTAAATGATACCCAGTGGGTATGGCTAACAGAATTGATGTGTTGTCTTGTTACAGCCTGCCCAGATGGCAGCTGGGGTATCAGCTGTAAGAACAAATGTGCTTGTGAGAACGGCGCCACCTGCGACAGGATTACAGGGGAGTGTCTCTGTCTGGATGGATGGTATGGTCGTCACTGCCATGAAGGTGAGTGTCTAGGTCGAGTTGGAGTGTCTAAATGGATGGTAGGACCATCACTGGTGTAGATGGATGGTAGGACCATCACTGGGGAGTGTCTAAATGGATGGTAGGACCATCACTGGTGTCTAGATGGATGGTAGGACCATCACTGGGGAGTGTTGAGATGGATGGTAGGACCATCACTGGTGTCTAGATGGATGGTATGGGTATTACTAGTGAGTGCGTGGATGGTAGGACCATCACTGGTGTCTAAATGGATGGTAGGACCATCACTGGTGTCTAGATGGATGGTAGGACCATCACTGGTGTCTAGATGGATGGTAGGACCATCACTGGTGTCTAGATGGATGGTAGGACCATCACTGGTGTCTAGATAGATGGTAGGACCATCACTGGGGAGTGTCTAGGTTGATGGTAGGACCATCACTGGTGTCTAGATAGATGGTAGGACCATCACTGGTGTCTAGATGGATGGTAGGACCATCACTGGTGTCTAGATGGATGGTAGGACCATCACTGGTGTCTAAATGGATGGTAGGACCATCACTGGTGTCTAAATGGATGGTAGGACCATCACTGGTGTCTAGATAGATAGTACGACCATCACTGGTGTCTAAATGGATGGTAGGACCATCACTGGTGTCTAAATGGATGGTAGGACCATCACTGGTGTCTAAATGGATGGTAGGACCATCACTGGTGTCTAGATGGATGGTAGGACCATCACTGGTGTCTAGATGGATGGTAGGACCATCACTGCCAATAAGACAATGGCTCTTTAAGTACAATGGTACAAGTTATGGTACAAGTTAACATAACTGACATCTATTTGTCAAAATGTTACTCCATTTATTTTTATTTTACATTTAACAATTCACTTACGATCTTCCCGTTACAACATAAGAAGCCAGGGGTTAATGTACATTTTAATATAAAATACAAGTTCAGTATCAATACAATTTTCTGTGTAATACCTGTAAAAAATAAATGTTCAGCATAATAATTTGTCCCAAGCAGTTTACATTCAGAATCAATGCAAAAATTTTCTGTGATGTATGATAGAACCAATTTAGTTATCCCAAATAAAATATGTCTATGTGAAACCTGATGAAACCAATGTTGTTGTTCTCCCTAGCTTGCCCCAAGGACAGGTTTGGACCCCAGTGCACCTCCAGGTGCATGTGTGAGAATGAGGGCAGCTGCAACCCACAAGATGGCACCTGCACATGTAAACCTGGGTGGACAGGACAGATCTGTGACAGAGGTGATTTGTGGGGGCAGTTATGGGCTTGGTCAAAGGGCTTTTGATTTCTTTACAACCAATGGCTAGGTTGAGGGGCTTTTGATTTCTTTACAACCAAGGGCTTTTGATTTCTTTACAACCAATGGCTAGGTTGAAGGGCTTTCGATTACTTTGCAACCAATGGCTAGGTTAAAGGGCTTTTGATTTCTTTACAACCAATGGCTAGGTTGAAGGGCTTTCGATTACTTTGCAACCAATGGTTAGGTTGAAGGGCTTTTGATTACTTTGCAACCAATGTCTAGGTTGAAGGGCTTTTGATTACTTTGCAACCAATGTCTAGGTTGAAGGGCTTTTGATTACTTTGCAACCAATGGTTAGGTTGAAGGGCTTTTGATTACTTTGCAACCAATGGCTAGGTTGAAGGGCTTTTGATTACTTTGCAACCAATGGCTAGGTTGAAGGGCTTTTGATTACTTTGCAACCAATGGCTAGGTTGAAGGGCTTTTGATTACATTTTTCAACCAATGGCTAGGTTGAAGGGCTTTTGATTACTTTGCAACCAATGGCTAGGTTGAAGGGCTTTTGATTACTTTGCAACCAATGGCTAGGTTGAAGGGCTTTTGATTACTTTGCAACCAATGGTTAGGTTGAAGGGCTTTTGATTACTTTGCAACCAATGGCTAGGTTAAAGGGCTTTTAATTACTTTACAACCAATGGCTAGGTTGAAGTTGAAGGGCTTTTGATTACTTTACAACCAATGGCTAGGTTGAAGGGCTTTTGATTACATTTTTCAACCAATGGCTAGGTTGAAGGGCTTTTAATTACTTTACAACCAATGGCTAGGTTGAAGTTGAAGGGCTTTTGATTTCTTTACAACCAAGGGCTAGGTTGAAAGGCTTTTGCTTTACAACTAAAGAAGGCATTTGTTTACCACTATAAAAAGGGGTTGTGTGGTCAGTACCAAGTATACACTGCCACCTTATTTCATTACCTGAACTCCACATCCAGCAGTTTCAAAACTGATTTTGTCTATAATGAAAACTTTAGGACAGTTGTCTTTAATTTTATGTTGTGCTCAGTTTGTCCACAGAGGATTTAACCTTCATTTTTGTGCATGTTTTTAGTCATTGTTTATATTTGTATGTGTTTTAGTCCAATGATTGTGAATGGTTTAATTATTTTGTTTATGTTTGTGTATGGTTTGGTCTGTTTGTTTATATGTGTGTGTGGTTTGGTCTGTTTGTTTATATATGTGAAAGGTTTGGTCAGTTTGTTTATATTTGTCTATTGTTTGGTCTGTTTGTTTATATATCTGGATAGTTTGGTCAGTTAGCTTATATGTGAACAATTTGGTCAGATTGTTTATATTTGTGTATAGTTTGGTCAGGTTATTTATGTACCCTTTGGTCAGTTTGTTTATATTTGTGTCAATTTGTTTAAATGTGTATGATTTGGTCAGTTTGTTTATATTTGTGTCAATTTGTTTAAATGTGTATGATTTGGTCAGTTTGTTTATATTTGTGTCAATTTGTTTAAATGTGTATGATTTGGTCAGTTTGTTTATATTTGTAAATGTTTTAAACATGTTGCTTATACTTGTGTATGGTTTGATCAGTTTGTTTATATTTGTGAATGTATTAAACATGTTGTTTATATTTGTGAATGTTCTATACATGTAGCTTATACTTGTGTATGGTTTGACCAGGTTGCCCACCAGGAACCTATGGAGACGGCTGCTCCCAGAAGTGTGAGTGCCAGAACAGTGCTGACTGCGACCCAGTGACTGGCGAATGTTTGTGTGTGCCAGGATGGAGGGGACCAAACTGTGATCAGAGTAAGTTGTTCATTTACCATGTAAGTAGTAAGTCAAGTTCCCTTTCAAACCTGACGGTCTATGGGGCAAGTGAAGTAGAGTTCATCTTTTTTTTAATTCTACCTCAAGGGATGGAGTGGTCAGCTTTATGCCCAGCTGCTTTTACTTTCCCTATATGAGATAGGTACACATCAGAACTGAGTGGAATCAGGGAGATTCTACTGACTTGAAACAGGATTCGAACCTTAGATATTTGGGTTAGCAGTCTAGTGCTCTACCACTAGGCCATGCTGTCCAATCAGTTACCATGGGTACTTGTTTACTTATAATCTATGATGGTTATATGGTAAATTAATTTGTGTTTTATTTCATGTATCTTATAATATCTATAATTATATGTATCTATGTATTATATGTATCTGTTTTTTACTTTCTCGTATATACGTAGTATAGAGAAAGTATTGTAATCGTGCAAAAAAAAAAAATCGAGATTTTTACAAATCTCGACGTTTTACACCTCACTGATACGGAAAAACATAATTTTGCAATCTTGTCCGTATGTCTGTGTGTGTGTGTGTCTGTCTGTCTGTCTGTCTGTCCGTGTGTAAACACGATAACTTGAGTACCGTTACAGCTAGGTTGATGAAATTTCATATATAAGTATTTTATCAAAATCGTAGATCCGTATCAACTTTTGAGCGATTTCCGATAACCGGAAGTGGTACTTTTCCTACTTTGAATTTTTTAAAAGCCTATAACTTGAGTACTATTTCAGATAGATAAATGAAATTTCACATGTAAGTAAAAGATCTAATTCTCTACCTTCTGTTAAATTTTGAGTAATTTCCGTTGACAGGAAGTAGTAATTTACGCTACTTCCGATTTCTCAAAAAACTAATGTAAATTTTAAAAGTACTAATAATATTGCGCACTATTATACACACCTTTATTAGGCGTTCGCTTGGTGCGCAATTGTTTTTTACTGAGATTCTATTCTATTTTTAAAAGTTTTAGTATTTAAAATGGATTAAAAATCATAACTATATCCCCAGTTACCATCCCCTTGTTGTTTTATATAAGAATATTCGAGAAAGTTTAGGGGAGATCACTACCGGTTTATTTAGTATCTGTGAGGGAGTGTATCTTTCAATACAAATGGGTTTATCTTTTATTTAAATAGTTTTATCAGTTACACTATGACTATCTCATGTTTACATTAACATATTGTGTTAAAAAAATTTTTTTAATAGGTTCAAAGTTATCTATTATTTTTGGTTTAAACTACTACCCTAAATTCTGATGTGACTACCACATACATTCTATGGGTCTTGTATGTTATATGACTACCTTATATGTTAATATGGCTATCTTTCTATGTTCCCAGAGTGCCCTGAAGGCTACTATGGCGCAGGCTGTAGCAAGCCGTGCAGATGTCAGCATGGCGCCACCTGTGACCACATAGGTGGCGCCTGTATGTGTACTGCAGGATGGAGGGGCCGGCACTGTGAGAAAGCTTGTCCTGATGGTTTCTATGGCCTGGAGTGCCAGAGTATGTGCAGCTGTGGGGACTGGGCCAGGTCTGTAGATTTCATACGATGCCATGTTTTATCATCTATGTGACTTATTTAAGATTGATTGTTTTTTTTTTTTTTATAATATGCCTACTCAAGTCACAAACCAGTACATTTTTGCAGAGGCGTAGCGACCCTTCCCGGCGCCAGGGGACAAACTTTCGATTTGCACACACCCCCCCCTCCCCTCAAACTTTCGATTTGCAACCCCCCTCCCCTCAAGCTTTCAATTTATTTTTCCAACCCATTTTAGCACCCCCTAAGGTCGGCGCCCAGGAACTTATGTGTGTCCGCCCCCCCTCGCTATGCCTCTGCATTTTTGCTTTAAAAAATACTAAAATTATAATTTTTTTGCCATATTTTACTTCAATGTGACAAGCAAAAAAGGACCACAGGGGATAAACCACAGTTCTCATAGCTTTCTACTTTTGAGAAAAATGAGATTTTGTGTTTGAGATCCTTTGCTGTTCCATTATGGCATGGTTTTTAAAATCCTAAATATTAACGGGATACAGATACACTAGTACCACATGAATATGGAACTAACTCAAAAATTTCAAAAAGTAGACATCTGTGGTTTATCCTGTGTAGTCTTCAAATGTTTCTTACATTTAGTATATACTTTGGGTTGATGGTTTTAACAATTTTTTAATCTGGCTAGGAAAAAAACAGTACTTTTTTTTAAAAATATAAAATGGGTTTTATGACCTCAAATGGCAAATGACTATAGCTGGAGATTACAGCTGAAGCAGTCTAAAATAACAGTGGTTATTCTTATCCCTGCCTTTAAATGGTGTTTATGTTATTGCAGTTCCATTTCATGATTTTAATTTATTAATTTGGATTTGTTTCTGCTGTTGTTCCATTTATTAAATTTAATTTACCCCAATGCTCTGTACCTGGGATTAGTTTGTGTTTTTACTGTTCAATTTCATAATTGTAATTGACACCAATGTTCTGTACCTGGGTTTATTTTGTGTTGTTGCTCTTCCATTTCATGATTTTAATTTCCCCACTATCCTGTACCTGGGAATAGTTTGTGTTGTTGCTGTTCCATTTCATGATTTTAATTTCCCCACTCTCCTGTAGCTGCGACCCTGTGGATGGAGCCTGCCACTGTGCTGCAGGCAGCATGGGCAGTACCTGTAACCACACCTGCTCACCTGGCTCCTGGGGGCCGGACTGCGAGCAGACCTGTGATTGTTTGAATGGCGGCACCTGTGACCCTGTCACTGGCACGTGTCACTGTAAACCTGGATGGAAGTCGGCCAAGTGTGAAGAGCGTAAGGCGTTAAAATGTTTCTTGTCATGTGCTGAGAGTTTTAATTCATCTTTCATTTTCTGACAACCCCACTTACAATCACAGCTCTACAAATACTGACAATCACATCTTCCTACACTGAATATTACATCTCCCTACACTGACAATTACAGCTACCCATACTGAAAATCACAGCTTTCCATACTGACAATCACAACTTTCTATACTGACAATCACATCTCCCTACACTGACAATTACAGCTACCTATACTGACAATCACATCTTCCTAAACTGAATATCAAATCTCCATACACTGACAATTACAGCTACCTATACTGACAATCACAGCTTCCTATACTGACAATCACAGCTTCCTATACTGGCAATCATAGCTTCCTGTACTGGCAATCATAGCTTCCTGTACTGGCAATCATAGCTTCCTATACTGATAATCACAACACTGACTTTTAAGTACAAGCAACATTAAAGATATATATATTAATATTTTCCTATTGTCCAGCTTGTCCCATGGGCATGTATGGCCAAAACTGTGTGTACAGATGTTTCTGTATGCACGGAGGATCCTGCCATCCTATCAATGGCACCTGTAACTGTACAGCAGGCTGGGAGGGTATTGCTTGTGAGAAAGGTAAGTTTGGTGGAACTGTTGTCATCAATGGCACCTGTAACTGTACAGCAGGCTGGGAGGGAATAGCTTGTGAGAAAGGTAAGTTTGGTGGAACTGTTGTCATCAATGGCACCTGTAACTGTACAGCAGGCTGGGAGGGAATAGCTTGTGAGAAAGGTAAGTTTGGTGGAACTGTTGTCATCAATGGCACCTGTAACTGTACAGCAGGCTGGGAGGGTATAGCTTGTGAGAAAGGTAAGTTTGGTGGAACTGTTGTCATCAATGGCACCTGTAACTGTACAGCAGGCTGGGAGGGTATAGCTTGTGAGAAAGGTAAGTTTGGTGGAACTGTTGTCTGACATTTCATACAATCAATGGTACCTGTAACTGTACAACAGGCTGGGAGGGAATAGCTTGTGAGAAAGGTAAGTTTGGTGGAACTGTTGTCATCAATGGCACCTGTAACTGTACAGCAGGCTGGGAGGGTATAGCTTGTGAGAAAGGTAAGTTTGGTGGAACTGTTGTCTGACATTTCATACAATCAATGGTACCTGTAACTGTACAGCAGGCTGGGAGGGTATTGCTTGTGAGAAAGGTAAGTTTGGTGGAACTGTTGTCATCAATGGCACCTGTAACTGTACAGCAGGCTGGGAGGGTATAGCTTGTGAGAAAGGTAAGTTTGGTGGAACTGTTGTCTGACATTTCATACAATCAATGGTACCTGTAACTGTACAGCAGGCTGGGAGGGTATAGCTTGTGAGAAAGGTAAGTTCTGTGGAACTGTTGTCATCAATGGCACCTGTAACTGTACAGCAGGCTGGGAGGGTATAGCTTGTGAGAAAGGTAAGTTTGGTGGAACTGTTGTCATCAATGGCACCTGTAACTGTACAGCAGGCTGGGAGGGTATAGCTTGTGAGAAAGGTAAGTTCTGTGGAACTGTTGTCTGACATTTCATACAATCAATGGTACCTGTAACTGTACAGCAGGCTGGGAGGGTATTGCTTGTGAGAAAGGTAAGTTCTGTGGAACTGTTGTCTGACATTTCATACAATCAATGGTAACTGTAAAGCAGGCTGGGAGGGTATTGCTTGTGAGAAAGGTAAGTTCTGTGGAACTGTTGTCATCAATGGCACCTGTTGTGTGGAAGTCTGACATTTTATCTAATCATTGGTATCTGTAACTTTACAAGGGCTGGGAGGGAATTGCTAGTGAGTTCTGTGGAACTGTTGTCTGAATCTCTCATGTATAATTTACAAGCACACCTCATACAGAAAATGTGTGATTTTCTGATAGATTTAACATGGAAATGCAGTGTTTACAATAGTATATTATTGTATGAGTTGACTTTGAGAATGGTTTAACCTCCTTCTGGGGGTTACATTACATAGAAACAGCCATACACTGGTTTGTTACATTTTTTGACCTGGTGATCTATATAGCAGATAAAGTTGAGTTCACCTGTTACTGTGAATGATGGTTCTGTTTTCAGCCTGTGAGCCAGGTTTCTATGGGCCCAACTGCCAGACACGCTGTAGTTGTGTCAATAGCAAGTCATGTGACCGTCACACAGGGGAATGTGTTTGCCAGCCAGGGTACAGAGGGCGCCAGTGTGACAAGCGTAAGTCACCATCAGGGATGTCACAATCTGTCATCATCCAAAACTGGTTTTATATTTTCTTTTGCTTTCTACTTCTGTCATCATCCAAAACTGGTTTTATACTTTCTACACTAGTCTGTTTTCATATTTACAATTTTTATTTTATAATAATGCAGTGTGTTAATTTCCAAAACTGGTTCAATTTCATTTTGCTTTCTAATTTTCTTCTGTTTTCATTTTTGTTTTCAAATTTTAAGTTTCTTTATCTGTGCATGTCTAAACTGGTTATAGGCTTATAAAAAGTAAAGTTCCCTTTTGAACCCAAAGGTCCATGGGGGCAAGTGAAGTTCCCTGTTTCTGTGACCTCAGCATATGTAGGGTTTAGTGTGGTCAGCTCTATGCTCAGCCTTACTAGCTTATATTTGTAGTGATGAAGGAAATGTAGATTCTAAATAAGTTATGACTAGATAATTGTAAATGATGAAACCTTTTTGCCAAGCTTCCTTATGAGAGAATAAATTATTTCAGCCTGCCTGAGAGGTTTCTATGGGAAGGAATGTAAAGAAGTTTGCCAGTGTAAAAATGATGCTCTGTGTGATCATAAGGATGGCAGATGTTCCTGTAAGATGGGCTGGACCGGCAAACTCTGTGAAGATGGTGAGGTCTTAGTAGCTGTACTATTGTTGACATATTTTAACCCTTTCCAAACTGTGAAGACGGTGAGGTCTTAGTAGCTGTACTATTGTTGACATACTTTAACCCTTTCCAAACTGTGAAGACGGTGAGGTCTTAGTAGCTGTACTATTGTTGACATATTTTAACCCTTTCCAAACTGTGAAGACGGTGAGGTCTTAGTAGCTGTACTATTGTTGACATACTTTAACCCTTTCCAAACTGTGAAGACGGTGAGGTCTTAGTAGCTGTACTATTGTTGACATACTTTAACCCTTTCCAAACTGTGAGGTCTTAGTAGCTGTTGACATACATTAACCCTTTCCAAACTCTGTGAAGATGGTGAGGTCTTAGTAGCTGTACTATTGTTGACATACTTTAACCCTTTCCAAACTGTAAAGACCTAGTAGCTGTTCTATTGTTGACATACTTTAACCCTTTCCAAACTCTGTGAAGACGGTGAGGTCTTAGTAGCTGTACTATTGTTGACATACTTTAATCCTTTCCAAACTTTGTGAAGACGGTGAGGTCTTAGTAGCTGTACTATTGTTGACATACTTTAACCCTTTCCAAACTGTGAAGACTTAGTAGATGTACTGTTGTTGACATACTTTAACCCAAACTGTGAGGTCTTAGTAGTTGTTCCACTTTTGACATACTTTAAACCTTTCCAAACTTTGTGAAGATGATGAGGTCTTAGTATTTGTTCCACTGTATTAACCCTTTGCTGTCCAGGTTTAACAGCATTTTTAATTTTCAGCAGCCAAGCAAATTTAAGAAGCATTATTCTACTGGTGCTGACATATTTTTTTTTTAAAGTATACATATGTATAAAAAAAAAATAGGCCTACAGGAAAATAGCACCAGTTGATTATGTTTGAGTCTGAATGGTTTTATAATTAACAAATAATACAAAACACTGTCAATTCTAAAAAAAATAACTACTGTAGAATTAGAAAAATTACTTTAAAATGCCAAAAAAAATTGTTCAAAATAACTGGATGTACTTTTTATTGATATTACTATATTAGTTACATTCTAAATGAAGCCCTATTTCATTATTTCTATTCTTAATTTTTAAAAATATAAAAATTAACCATTATTGTGAAAATCACGAATATATATATATATATATATATATATATTATTCAAAATCTCGTTGCGAGCAAGACTTCAATTACTATGCAGATATGAATTAAATATATATAGTTGGAACAAATCAGATAGTACAACATAAGAAATAATTGGGGCACACATGAAATTAGGGGTTAATTGTTCTGAATTATGTTTTTTTTTGACTTTGTATCAAATATTTTTTGGTACCTCGATTATCTTTCTTGAATTGTGATATGCTTTCTGGGTTACCTTTCTTTAAAAACTGCTGAGATGTGGGGGGAGGGGGATGAGGGGTACCTTATAATTTATGCAAGTTATATTTACATTATTTATACTGACTTGTTACACTATTCTAACTGGCAATGTTTTCCAGCCTGTCCTTATGGCCGGTTTGGTCTGAACTGTAAACAAGAGTGCCAGTGTGGGGCTGACAAGACCTGCTACCACGTGGACGGGAAGTGTGAGTGTCCACCTGGTCTCACAGGCAAGAGATGTGACCAGCGTAAGTACGCAAAGAATTGTTTGGTGGAGCCTTAAAAAAAAGTAAAGTACCCTTTTGACCCTGGCGGTGCAGGTGAAGTAGAGTTTACCTGGTCCTCTGCATATGATGGGATATTGTGGTCTGCACTATGCCCGGTCACCTTATTTTTCTAATGTGTGTTAGGTATCCATTAGAGTTGGGTGGACAGATGAAGTAGAGTTTACCTGTTGCCTCAGCATTTGAAGGGATAGTGTGGTCTGCACTATGCCCAGTCACCTAGCGTGAGTTAGGTACCCATTAGAGTTGGGTGGACTCAAGTACGTTGCTACAACTCTAGCCAGGGATCTGAACTCAAAAGGTTAACAGACGAACACTACCATTCAACCACACTATCAGGCATATGAAAATAGTCGTTTTAAGATTTCCCAAAACACCTGCTGGGTGTGTGTAATCTGTTTTTGCTGATGTCACAACTCTCAAAGTGATCCTGGTCTTACATACCCATAACACAAACCCTAATATTGCCTTGACTCTGATCTTTACAGCAATACCATCAGACCTCTTTACAATACTGATATAATTTCAGCTATACCATCAGACCTTGTTACAATACTGATATAATTTCAGCTATACCATCAGACCTTGTTACAATACTGATATAATTTCAGCAATACCATCAGACCTTGTTACAACACTGATATAATTTTTTTCCTGATCTTTACAGCAATACTATCAGACCTTCTTAAGATACTCACCTGATCATTTTTTTTCAACATTTCTTTTTTTTTATGGTTTGGAGATTTATCTAGCACATACTTTTATTGTTCAGTGATTTGTCTAGTATAAATTTTTTTTTTCTGTATTTTATTATTGACCAAAAATTTAAATTTGCAAACTTTCAGCGTGTCCTCAGGGAACATACGGGGCTAACTGTCAAGGCATCTGTCAGTGTGAGTCCCATATGGCATGTGACAGTGTCAGTGGCCAGTGTATGTGTAGGACTGGATTTTACGGACAAAGCTGTGAAAAGGGTAAAGGTTTTAGCCTCTATCTTACATGTTACGGTCAGTTCTTGCATCCATTAAAGGTCAATTATTTGCATCGTCTAACCTGTTACGGTCAGTTACTTGCATCCATCTGACCTGTTAAGGTCAATTATTTGCATCATCTAACCTGTTACGGTCAGTTACTTGCATCCTCTAGACTTTTTAAGGTCACCGGCTTGCTTCCAACAGACCTGTTAAAATCAGTTACTTACATAGATCAATGATTATATTTATGCCAGCCATGCAGTTGCAATTAACTTGCATCCAATTCACTGGGTTAAGTCTCTAGTTTTTGTTGTAAGGCAGTAACATTTTAATATGTAGTATTTCTAGGCTTTTATTAACATGCATAGACTCCAAGTTTCACTGATGCTACATTAGTTCTTGTAAATTTCATTTAAATAGAAATTATACATCTGTAAATCAAGTATTACACCGTTAATGGTTTATAAAAGATCTCTTGTATTTGCATCAAACCAGAATAATTCCACTCCATGAATATAAAAGCTTAATTGACCTGATATGATTTTTTAAAATCCAGAATAAATTTTGCATTGGCAATATAGTGCTATTTTACAAAACCGTTTTTCACAAGCACTATATTAGATTTCTAGATTACTAAAATAACCTTTGTGTCTTTTTTCTCATTAATTTTGTTTCTGATTAACAAATTGTCAAATTTGATAGTAATTAATGTGGCAGTAATTTGAAAATGCCTTGGGAATATAGCTATACTGTGATTATGGCCATATTGTGAATATGTAACCTTACTGTGAATATAGCCATACTATGAATGTGGCCATACTGTGAATGTGGCCCTACTGTGAATGTGGCCATTCTGTGAATGTAACCATACTGAGAATGTAACCATACTGTGAATGTGGCCATACTGTGAATGTAAACCTACTGTGAATGTGGCAATACTGTGAATGTGGCCATACTGTGAATGTAGCCATATTATGAATGTGGCCATACTGTGAATGTAACCATACTGTGAATGTGGCCATACTGTGAATGTAGCCATATTATGAATGTGGCCATACTGTGAATGTGGCCAAACTGTGAATGTGGCCCTACTGTAACTTTGATATTTCTAATGTTCCCTGTCACCAGAGAGGAAGAAAGGCAAAAATGGGGTAAAGGGTGTTAAAGGCAGGAAGACCAGCTACAAGTACAGGAAAATGCTGAAAGACAAGAATGCATTGAGTAGTCTTAAAGCAGGTACTCACATTACACTCAGTTGTCTCAAACTTCTCCATTAGTGCTCTTCAAATCAGTTCAGTTCTTTACCCAAGGGAATGTCAGCATTTGCTGTTGTTACTAGATAAAATACAAAGAAAAATTTTCTACTCTAAGCATTTCCTAAATATGATGGTATAGTGTATACACCAATTTTGTCATACATAAAATGGTGTATCAAAATATCAAAAATAAATGAGATCACAACCCACAACAATATAAGAACAGCTAGCGCAAACATCAGTTTAAATTATAACAAAGTTTAAATTATAACAAACGTTGCAGTAGTTTTTATGATAGAATTCTGTTAAGCTTTTTAACTTTTATGAAGCTTTGAAATTGGCTTGCATTTATAACACATGTAGCACTTCCACTTTGTTTAGCTTTGTACTGCCCTTGATAATTGAGCACTGCCCCTTGATTTATCACAGATCCAGAATATATTTTTACGCTACTGTTTCAAATAATCTACAATCTTTAAAATTACTAAATAAAAATATTTTAAAACTTGAAAGTAAATGACTTTGCCATTTAGACTTTAATTCATAGCTAAGTTTGTTGCTTCTCTCATCCAATGCTAGCATCTTGGGTTTTTGGTAAGAATCACAATATTTGCACTCAGTAGCTAGAGTATAGTCTCACATTTTTTTTTAAACTTGACTTGTTTTTTTTATTATGATTTTATTTCTTTTTTGCACTTGATCTGGTTTTTTCTTTGAGCACAAAATCAATTTTATTAATTTTATTTGAAAGCTAAATGTTTTTAAAGGTTTTTTTTCCTATACAGCAAAATCATTTTTATTATACTTAATCTAGTCTTGTATTGTTTTTTTTTATTACTTATTTCTTTCAGTTATTTTTTTATTAGTTGTAGTTCAGGGGAAACAACCACAATGATTGACTAACCCTTATCTCCCCTGACAGGCTGCAAGGAAGGAGAGTATGGTCCCAACTGTGACAAGCTCTGCCAGTGTGAGAACGATGCAGACTGTGACATGTCCACTGGGGCTTGCATCTGTCCAGAGGGCTACATCGGCACCACCTGTGGGGAGAGGTGCCCAGAAAACAGATATGGTTTTAACTGTACTGGGGTGAGCCTTTGTGTTCCGATGTTACAGGTTTAAAGGTCTAAAGGTCACTAAGGTTGAATAGATGGATGATGAGATTGATTTTATCAAACTTTCACAAGCCCATATTAGTTTTTAATGTTGGTTTCAGATTTCATAACCTCGTTAGTAAATAATATTGATTTCAGTTTTAAAAAAACCATGTTAGTTTACGATGTTGATTTCAGTTGTGCATTTAAATGTTGATTTCAGACTACATACCCTCTTTAGTTTATAATATTGATTGCAGTTTAAAAACCCATTTTAGTTTATGCTGTTGATTGTAGTTTAAAAACCCATGTTAGTTGATGATGTTGATTGCAGTTTAAAAACCCATGTTAGTTTACGATGTTGATTGCATTTTATAAACCCATGTTAGTTTATGATGTTGTTTTTAGTTTAAAAACCCATTGTTAGTTTACGATGTTGATTGCAGTTTAAAAACCCATGTTAGTTTATGATGTTGATTGCAGTTTAAAAACCCATGTTAGTTTATGATGTTGATTGCAGTTTAAAAACCCATGTTAGTTTCAGATGTTGATTGCAGTTTAAAAACCCATGTTAGTTTATGATGTTGATTGCAGTTTAAAAACCCATGTTAGTTTATGCTGTTGATTGCAGTTTAAAAACCCATGTTAGTTTATGCTGTTGATTGTAGTTTAAAATCCCATGTTAACTTATGATGTTGATTGCAGTTTAAAAACCCATGCTAGTTTATGATGTTGATTGCAGTTTAAAAACCCATGTTAGTTTATGATGTTGATTGCAGTTTAAAAACCCATGTTAGTTTATGATGTTGATTGCAGTTTAAAAACCCATGTTAGTTTATGTTGTTGATTTCCGTTGTTGTGTATTTTACTTTAGGTCTGTGACTGTCAGAATGGAGCCCGCTGCAATAAAAGATCTGGACGCTGTAAATGTTTGCCTGGATACAGGGGAGAAAAATGTCAAGACAGTAAGTAATAGAGTTTTGTCCCTTGATAAACTATTTCAACTGTTCTGAGAATTTTCAAAATAGTTTTAATAAATGATGTCTGTTTTAAAGTAAAAGAATTATATTGCAAATTAGAGTGTAATTTATATGGTTTATGAGGAGTATTAAATGTTCCTGAAATTTTTTTTGCCATTTTCAGTGTGTACTAAAGGTCATAGTGGGAAGACTAAGATCAAAATAAACTAAGATACTTTTTAATGAAATTTTGCTGTCATGTCTTTCCCACTTTCAGCATGGTTAGATGACTAAGGTAAAATTTTTCTGTGATATCTTTTCCACTTTCAGCGTGTCCTGACGGGACATATGGTGAGGACTGTAAGCACAACTGTTCGTGTGAGCACGGAGACTGCAGTCACGTGAACGGCGCCTGCAGCTGCCAGTTGGGCTGGACAGGCAAGAAGTGTGACCAGCAGTGCCCGGCTGGCAAGTTTGGCCCAGACTGTGTCCACTCTTGTGTCTGTCAGAATGGGGCGTCCTGCGACCCCACCTCAGGCTGCTGTACCTGCCAGGAGGGGTATTACGGCCAGATGTGCGAGTTAGGTAAATGTTACTTTAACACATCTAATATGTTGTGTAACAGCTGAGAGAGGTATTACGGCCAGATGTGCGAGTTAGGTATAAGTTATTTTAACACTTGTCTATTGTGTTGTATAACAATCAGGAGGGGTATTACGGCCAGATGTGCGAGTTAGGTAAATGTTACTTTAACACATCTAATATGTTGTGTAACAGCTGAGAGGGGTATTATGGCCAGATATGTGAGTTAGATAATTGCCACTTTAATATCAGTCAAATATGTTTTGTAACAGCTGAGAGTGGTAGTATGGCCAGATGTGGGAGTTAGGTACTTGCTATGTTAACACTTGTCTGATATGTTTAATTAGCCATACTGTGATATCCTCACAGCAGGTATCACTTATATGGCTGCTTTAAAATTACCATTAAGTCTAAAAATATATAAGTAAATGATATTAGCTATTAAAAAAAGTTTTTTTGGCTATTCAGTAACATAAATTTCAATTTAAACTTTTTCTTTTATTTAGAAAACTTATGTTTTTCAACTATTTTTTGTGAATATAGAAATACTTAAGTCTTCAGTATTCTCTATACTGAAAATAGCTTCCTTCGTATTTTAAAGAAATGTAAATACAACATTTAAAATTTTGGCCAACAGAATGCCCACCTGGAACTCACGGCAACTACTGCACTGAGCGCTGTGATTGTGTGAACGGTGCATCCTGTCTGCCCACGACTGGTCAGTGCAAGTGTCCAGCCGGCTATACAGGAGACAGGTGTGAGAAATGTAAGTTAGAGCCTACTCCTCTTTTTATCACTCAGTCAAATGTACTAATGTTTGAATTCTAAATATAGTGTTAATGAAAGGCTATTTTGTAAGTTTTTTTTTTTTTTTTTTTTTTTTTTGCTTTTCTGTGTAAATTAATTTTAAGTTTGACTTATTTAATATACAGAACAATCACAACTCCTACCATTATGTCTAGACGGCATAAAAAAATTAGAACAACTAACCGCAAAATCAGCTCATTAAGATAAGACTCATTACTAAATTCCCTGAAAGCTGCATTTAAAACACCATACAGTGAGCCAGATTTAAAGCAAAAATAAATGTGTAATTTTAGCAATTTTATTGCTGCAATTTGCACTAAGTAGCAATCGCATGTAGGCTTACAGATTATTTGTGTGTGTGCTGGGGTCTGAACATCTTACGCAAGGTTATATAAAGGCTTTATAAAATGATTATGTGGAATATTGTTTGTAGTTTGTAGCAAGGGTTGTTTTTTGTTGTTACTTTCAGCATGTCCGAAGAACCGGTGGGGTCTGAACTGCAGGGAGGAATGTTCTTGTGGTGATGATGCTGGCTGTGATTCTGTGACTGGTGCTTGTCAGTGTCAGCCTGGTGTCATGGGAGAAACATGTGAACTATGTAAGTCTTTTTCAACACTGTACTTCTTTGTGTGCTCCAGTCTTCATAAACACCTCACTTTTTTTTTGTGTTTAACTCATTTTATAAACACCTCACTTTTTTGTGTTTAACTCCTTTTATAAACACCTCAACCTTTTTGTGCTCAAGTCCTTCTAAAAGTACTTTAATCGTGTGTATTTTTCTTTTCATAAGTACTTGTATCAATACACTAAACTCAGACTGAAATAGATACAGTGCATATATTTTGAATGTGGTTTTATTCTTAAAGCTATAGCCACTTTTAGTTACAGTGAATTTTAGTAGTAAATGTTGGATGAAATTTTTAAAAGCTATAATGAATGTAAGATTTCTGAGCTAACAAACTTTAAGTTTCTTTTAACATTCCATATATACACAATGGACCTACCTGTTAAAATGTCTAATAAACTTCCTGTAGCTGTTAAAATATCTAATAAAACTTTATCTCCTAGCCTGTCCATCATGACGCTATGGACCCACCTGTTAAAATATCTAATAAAACTTTCTGTACCAGTTAAAATATCTAATAAAACTTTCTGTATCACCAGCCTGTCCATCATGACGCTATGGACCCACCAGTTAAAATATCTAATAAAACTTTCTGTACCAGTTAAAATATCTAATAAAACTTTCTGTAAAACAAGCCTGTTAAAATATCTAATAAAACTTTCTGTATCACCAGCCTGTTAAAATATCTAATAAAACTTTCTGTATCACCAGCCTGTTAAAATATCTAATAAAACTTTCTGTATCACCAGCCTGTTAAAATATCTAATAAAACTTTCTGTATCTACTAGCCTGTCCATCAGGATGCTATGGACCCACCTGTTAAAATATCTAATAAAACTTTCTGTATCACCAGCCTGTTAAAATATCTAATAAAACTTTCTGTATCACCAGCCTGTTAAAATATCTAATTAAACTTCCTGTATCTGTTAAAATATCTAATTAAACTTTCTGTATCACCAGCCTGTTAAAATATCTAATAAAACTTTCTGTACCTGTTAAAATATCTAATAAAACTTTCTGTATCACCAGCCTGTTAAAATATCTAATAAAACTTTCTGTATCACCAGCCTGTTAAAATATCTAATAAAACTTTCTGTATCTACCAGCCTGTCCATCAGGATGCTATGGACCCACCTGTTAAAATATCTAATAAAACTTTCTGTATCACCAGCCTGTTAAAATATCTAATAAAACTTTCTGTACCTGTTAAAATATCTAATAAAACTTTCTGTATCACCAGCCTGTTAAAATATCTAATAAAACTTTCTGTATCACCAGCCTGTTAAAATATCTAATAAAACTTTCTGTATCTACCAGCCTGTCCATCAGGTCGCTATGGACCCACCTGTTATAATATCTAACAAAACTTTCTGTATCTACTAGCCTGTCCATCAGGTCGCTATGGACCCACCTGTTATAATATCTAATAAAACTTTCTGTATCTACCAGCCTGTCCATCAGGACGCTATGGACCCAGCTGCTCCTATTTCTGTGATTGCTCCAACAAGGGGACCTGTGATGCTGTGTCTGGTAGCTGTACATGCTATGAGGGCTGGGTTGGAGCACGGTGCCAGACTATGCAGAGTAAGTTCTATCATAGGTGGATGGGGAAGAGGGGGTGGGATCACACCCTGGGGCCTCAAAGTTATGTGAATAAATCACGTGCTGGAGTGTATTAGAAAACAATGCACAGTACAGTAAAGTTGTCTTTCACCTCATATGTTTTATCATAGACATATATACTTGCCCTCGGTCGACAACACTTTTCTACTGTGTTAAATAGTGAAATTTTAAACTGCAGATATAATAATATATTACCATTTTTTGGTAAGCCTTAACTTAAATATTTCAACAGTACATGACTATCCAAATCTGTAGAATTATTTTTTTTCTAAGTTGTAGGGCCTAGTTACTAAAATAATTTTGACAGGTGAGTTGAAAAATTTTAAGTAACTAATAATTTCACAGTATTTAAAGGCAATGTTCCCTCTAAGCTGCGCGACCGCGCAGTAGTTTTGAGCTGCCGCGCAGTGATTTTGTAAAATAAGTATATCCTTATATAAGACTTTTAGAACACCGCGCACAGAAAATACATGTTGCACACTAGCTTTTCCCCCTTAGAAGGAACATTGTTTAAAGGTTTGCAGTGCAATATCACTTCAGCCATAGTGTATGAAAAGAAATGAATTTCTGACCTGATGGTCATTTGAGCAAATAGAGTAGCTTTCACTTTCTTTTTTTTTACCTCGCCATATTAGTGGACATTATCATCAATTGGTAGAGTTTATGACTGCTAGCTAATAGTCTTGGGTTCAAATCCTGGGCCGATGCTCTAGAACACACCAGAGTCCTCCCAACTATTCCCTCATATTCCAAGTTCATTGAAACAGGTTAATTCTACTTCATCTGCCCCAAGTTTCTTGGGCACACACAAAAATATGAATGGGTGTGGTGATCCATACTGAACCCAGCTGCCTGTACTTTTAATTACTGAAGCCAAGACTTGCTTTTATGGCTTTCTGAGTACCAAATAGAATTCACTCTAATGTTGTTGTTTGTTTTCTAAGATGTATTTACAGCTGCAGTCATTGCCTGATGAGCACCACTATAGAAATGTAAATTATAGATAGGCAGGATTTGTGTTGCTTTTATCTTTAATATTTTAAAACGTCTTACATCCAAAAATGTGTATTACATCCAAAAATGTGTGAACATCCCATTTTAACTTCCTACGTCTAGTCTCATCCTGTTTCTGTGCATCAGTTTTAGTTCTGGCACATTCCCACTGACTTAATAGTTTTTATTATTCCCTTAATATTTTGTAAATATTGGAGAAATTATTTTTTTTAACTACTATATCCAACTGTTTGTTGGGTGTTCCTCAACAGCCCCTGTTTTTAACTAAACAACAGCAGCCTGTGATGTTTGATCAAGTAGATGATAATGTTTGTCACCATTAGATCCATTTTAACACTAGCAGGTTTGCTAAATGAGTTAAAATTATTTTATAATGTATTTTACTGATGACCGTGTATATCATTTTGGCAGCATTAGGAGAGCTTATACTGAGATGTGATGTAGTTCTAGAAGCAACTAACTACCTGTTATATCCCTGGGTCTGCAGCTCTTGCATATTAATTTGCACAAAGTTTTGATCAGCTTAAACTTTCTTGACTGGCTGTACTTTTTTATACTGAGATACATTATACAGTGAACAATTGCATTGATTGATTTATCTAAAAACCATTTTTAACTTTGACTAAATTGAGCATGTGAAGTTGAATATGTGCAACCATAACTACATATACTATCCATACTCGACAAATATTTTTCTCCATACGCACACAGTGTATATACTAAACAAATCTATTTCTCCACAACATACACACTATTCAATACACTATACAAATCAATTTCACCACAACATGCTCATTGAATATAATATACAAATATATTTCCCCACAACATGCACACTATCAGTACTAGACAAATCAATTTCTCACCTGTTTTACAGAGAAGGAGCAGGAAATACAAGCTGTAAGTTTCAACTGCCAGAAGTTCTATTAATTTTTGGCATGTTGGCATGACCTTACAGCAATAACTCACCACGGCCTATTTCCTTGCTTCAATCTGCACTTACTTTTAACTGTTAGCCGTTACTTATTTTACAAAAAGGACATGCATCATCAACATTGTTTCCTTACGAATACAAAATTAAATCAAGTTTTGACAATACTTCTATCAGAGTTGCAAAGAAATAAACTTTATTACTGTGTTGGTGTTAGGCTATCTTAGTGATAGCAGTAAAAAGTAACTTTTATTTGTAATTTAAAAAAGTATTCTAAATATGTTCTAAATTCTTTTTTTCTAAAAGATAGTAGCAGGCAATATCTGAATTGAACTTACTTTTAGATTTAAATTGTATGGGTAAGTAAAACGTAAGTATTTATGTAAACCTCTTTGATTAAATTGTGTGTTAATTCTTTGTATTTTTTCTCTTGAAGTCCCCACGGGGCCAAGACGAGGTGACATTCCATGGGCAGTCAACTACAGCTAGTGATGGGAACCAGTCAGGTAGAAGAGCTGATGCCAACAGTATTCATGCTAGCCCTGGTGCAGTCGTCCAACGGAACTCTGACCATGAGATCAACAGAGCTGGCACTATCATCACTTTTGATTTCAACCAAGGTCATGATGTGATTTTAGGCAAGGGTGATGCTGGTGTCAAGTTGGGCAAAGGTGGTGGTGGTGGTGTTAGGTTAGGCAAAGGTGATGGTGTCAGTGTGTTGGGCACTAGTGACAATCCTATTCAAACTTACACAGAGGGTACGGTAGACCGGGGCACCACAGATCTTGATGTTTCTTTAGATAGTTTTAGCGGTAGCGAAGACACTGAAATCTGAAGTGGTTGATTTGTTCATATCGCTAGTGCTTTCATTTGTGAGACTTCAGTCATTTAGTTAGTCATTCCTTGCGAGATTAGATCTTAGAAGTTTATTATTTTTGTGTATTGTATTTTAATGTATTTTTATGTACAGTGTTATTTCCTGTATCAAATTTAGTTCATTATCTATTACAATCATTTAGTACTCTATGTATTAAATAATTTTGCAAGGCAGATCTTCAAAAAATGTCCTCTAAATTATTGATCATAACTGAGAAAGTAAAGTAATTTATTTAGTAGGACATTTAGCTCTGCTTCTAGTTGTCTTACTATTTCATAAGATTGTTTTTATTTTTGTTGCTTACATTTTGACTTCAAATGTTATTGATAGTAAATTATTTCTAACAATTTGACTTCACAAATGTTATTCATAGTAAAAATTATTTCTAACAATTTGACTAGGCTGTTTTTCATCTGCCAAAGTTTTAACTTACCTGTGTATTTATCATGTGCGCACATTGTTTTATTAACCTCATTTAATCAATTAGTCAAATATTTTTATCTAGATGTAATGTTTTTTATCTGACTGGGTTTTGAGTGTGACCATGTATTTACAGTTTTATGCTCAAAGTATACAGTAAGACGACATGGATCACCATATGATTTATTTATTTTACAACCAGATAAACTCAAAGCAACTTTAATTTTAAGTTCAATCAAAGTTTTGATTTATTGTAAATTCCATTTTATTTTTCATTGTTTTTAAATATATTCATTTTCTTCATTTTATTTAAAAGCAAATAATTCTCACTTCATTTAGTGTCTTATCCTTAAAACCGTACCCAAAAGAATAAATTTTAATCTTTAAATGGTTTTTTTAAAACGATTTCAATATTATGACTCTTTGTTAGTGTACCAAGTTTCAATAATTATTAGATGTAAAAGATGTATCCATTGTTATTACCAGTTATCTCCCTTCTTTTTATTACTAGTTTATGTCTTGATTAGATGGTGGTATATATTTACTTTTAGTCTTTCCTGCCATTAACCACTGTAAAAATTATGTTTTTCACACACTTTTGTATTTAATTATAATGTAATTGATGGCTAAAACATCTAAATTCTGTGTGAATTAACTTCATACCGAAAAATATTCTTCTTTCCTTTGAAGAATTTTATCTTTCTTTTTTTATCCGCCTTTCCATTCCCAAGTTTATTTAGAAGATATAAAATAGACCTTAAAAACTTGGATAAATTAGTATTTATTAGTTGATAAATTTAAACCCTCAATTGAATCTCTTTTTAAAAAAAAAACATTACATGCTTTGATTGTTTATTGAATCTTGTATATTTGTAAATGTCAATTATGTGCAATTAGATGTTTCATCTAGATACATCGAGCAAAACAATTCGTCACATGCTGAATTAGTTTTTGGACTCTGATTTTAAAACGTCCTTGAATTATTTTATTTTTAAATTAAAATAAGATGCTTAGACGCAGAATTTTTTTCTTCTTCTAAATTTAAAGGATGTCTTTCAATGTGTGCGATTTCTTGTTCAATGTAATCGCTCACTCACACAAGACGTGATCTAATTAAAACAAATTCTGTATTTCTTAAAAAAAAAGTCTTAATGAAATCTTGGCCAATATATAGTAACTTCTATCATCTGTTCCTATTCTGGACAGATGAACTCAATCACCTGGAAGTCATGTCTTTCCTACTATCATTAACTTAATCTGTTTACTTTATCAAAAGAAAGATTGGGACAATAATGCAATCTTTCAATTACTTTTTTTTTTCTTAGTATTTTAATTGTATTTTAAACTTAGCAAGGTGAAATATCTATTTATGAAAATTTTCCTTTAGTTAAACTAGTATTTGAGACAATAGTTTTTGTAAAACATGATATTATTTACTGTGTGTGTGAATGATTGAAAATGTTTGTGTACTTTGCTATCTAAAATTTTGAAAATATCAAATTTGTAAGAAAATTTAGACTAATGTTGAGCAAATATTGTTTGTAGTTGCAGGCTTAACAGTGTCAAATGGTGAAAAAATGGGATTGTCTACTTTTGTTCATTGAATGATCTTATTCATCAAAATAGATGTAAATTGAATAAACTTTTTTTTTACATTTGTTCCGCTTTGATCATTAACTTCTTTATGGGGTTTGACAAATGGTGTATATTAGTTTTAACACAAAATGTTAATCCAGAAAAATTTGATTACACCCTTTCATTAACTCTGTCAATTTTAAAAGCAGCAAGAATGCTAAGTGACTGTCAGAGGTTGGTCAATTTTCTGTCATTGATTGCACAAATTTTAATTTCCTGTCTACTGTTTTGATATTTATCATTAGTTTTATATCTGGGTTAAAGAATTGTTTTAATGACACTATTTTACTGATGTGTAGAAGATGTGTATCAGCACAACAGTGGAACCCTATACATGACAAATTCTCTGTATTATTCATAATACATAGATCTAGTAGTATTTAAAATGGTCTCTGAAAATCTTAAAAGCCAGGATTGATATTCAGTTAAAACTGCTGCGTAGTCAGAAATTTGTGGTAGTTAGATAATAGTGTGTATTTAATTAAATTAGGACAGAACCTCCATGGCATGCCTTACTCTCAGGAGAATCTTGGAGTGAAGGCTACTGTGTCGTATTTTTAGTTTTTTTTCATTTGAGACAAAGCAAGAATCATGGAAAAGGGCAACTGACAACTTTTAAATTATCAAAAGAGATTTATTAAATTATTAGAAAAATTAAGGGCATATAAAAAAAGCACTTTGGTATGTAACATGCTATCACAGAATGCTTTGAATGTACCAAAACAAGATTACATTGTACTCTACTATTTATACACTAGGAAATATTAACAAGATACAAATTTATTTTCTTGTGCCTGTGGTGTTTACAGACAAGAAGCCACAACTAAACAGAGTTGTGCGCAAACCATAAATAACACTTCATGGTGAAACTGGTATCGCAAAAAAAAAATGCACAATCTTAATCCATAACTAGCTTCAACATGAATTTAGTTTTAACTAACATTTCAAGAAAAGAATTGCAGAAAAAGAAACATTATTAAGTGTGTGTTACTGGCAAAGAAATATTACAAAATATTTTTACACTTAAAATTTTCAGATTTTCATTAAGGAATGCAGATGAAGCTAATTTATATTAATACATACTTACAAGTATATGTACAAAAAGGCCATTTGTTTTCATATTTACAAATATTATGCAAAATAAAGGTCTTTCATATAATTGTTTTTTTAAATGCTGGACACTCTACCAAGGTCGCCACATGGTTTCAGGTGAGATTTGGTGGTCAACACCGCCCTTGACACAAAGATTTAATGCACTGTTTGATGTGTTGGACTGTTTGGAGCTTAAGGGCGAGGGGCTGTTGGTCAGAGTGGGTGTAACATAACGAGCGGGCTGGACCAGGCTGATTGCTGTAGAAGGATACGGCTCGTATCCGCGGTAACCGTAGACTTGAGAGTCCAGACTGCTTGTGTAGGGGTAGGATGCTGGGTGGATTAAAACAGGGGAGCTGACTGATGGAGTGTAAGCCGTCATTGACAAAACAGTTGACTGGTAGGGTTGGTCAGCTGGTAACGAGGGGTATGAATTTAGTGAATGCTCGCTTGTGAAATCTGGGGTAACTGCTTCGTATTTACGTAAACTGTGAATGTCAGACTGGGGTTTGTAGTGGAATGGTGATTTGCTGATCTCTGTGGTTGTGTGTGGGCATTCTGTGTAGAATTTCTCCACACATCGCAAGCCTGGGCTGCGTTTTGTTGGGTCCTGCTTGGGTAATGAGTCTGGTGAAGGGATGATTCTCTCCTCTTGTAGATGCGGAAGTGGAGCGGTTGTACTGTGTGTGATGTTGTACTGGAGAGCTGGAGTCGACGACTGAATGGGTGAGGGTATGTAGACATGTCTGGCGTCAGTTGTGCTGGTCTGGTGGATCGCCTGTTCTTCGCCTGCGATAGCTCTGTCTCTTACGTAAATGTCTGACAAAGATGGGGAAGTGGATGACACTGTTGATGCTGATGCATGAAACGGCGAAGTGAAATTTGTGTTGGGGTCATCCACCTGAACCACTGTTTCCATCCTTCTAGCGATGGTTCTCAGATGGTTCTGAAGTTGAACTTTAACCTCTGCAGGAACAAGACGTGAGCTTTGGATGTACCTGATGGACTCCTCCGCGCATGAGCTAAAGCCTGAAGCATAACGTACTGCCATAGCTCTGCGTGTTGAAAATGTGTTCGTGGTTTGTGTTTTGCTGTAATCATGACGCAGTCTGGTCAGGACCTCTAATGTTTTTTCCAATATTTCTGCTTTCTCCATTTTGTCAAGATCAGTATCCTATAAAAGGAAATAACAATTAATTAAACAAAGGTAAAATTAAGTACAATTGACTTAAAAATCTCTTTCTTCACATTAAAATTATCTTCTATTTTATGTTTTATTATATGGTTTAACATTTAATTTCATAACAACTCTTAGTCTAATTAACTGAAAAATATAGATCTTAAAAAGAAAACATTTTAGTTACCTTTTCTTCATCTCCCTCACACACTATATCTCGTATCTGCATTAAGCAATTGTTGATTCGAGCTCTCCTTTTCTTTTCAGCAAGTAATTTTTTACCCTGCAAATTAAAAGATTAAATTACTTAAAAACTTAAAATCAAAATTTAATTAGCTTGAATATTACTACTATGTTGTTACCGGGTACTACAATCCATTATTCCAGTTGATATAATAAGGTTAACTTGACTGCCAATTGACTTAGACAATCCTAAATGATAGGTCTAATTAAATAAGTTTTTGTAGGCTTACATAAGGGTAGGTACATTTATGACGATTTGTTTATTTTACTAAAAATTAAAAATCTTAAGGGCCAAAACATACTTTTAACTTTTGACTATCAATACAAATACAAGACAAATACTGAGTAGAAATCTAGATCTAATCTAGACTAGCTTTTAGTCACCAACAAAATTAAAATTGACTCATACAACTGAATAAAGATCTAGATCTAGATTCTCTAGATCTAGATAAAAGTATACTAGATCTAGATCTATCTATTCTAATAAATTATTAAATGAGGAATTTTATTAAAAGTTTTTTAATCTAGAAATTTAGTTTTATTAGCCTAATTTAATTTTAAAAATAAATTATTAATAGAACTTCTCAGTCCAAGTTTGAAGTTAAGTTGTCAAGTTAGTAGATCTAGTTAGCCTATTCATTAAGTCATTTATTTTAAAATATTTTAATTTAGGCCTAGACCTCTTATCTAGATCTAGATTCTAGATCAGTAGATCTAGAATCCTGATTCTAGATCTAGACGTCTAGGTATATTTTTAAATTAATAAATAGGATTACATTGCCTAGATCTAATTTTAACCTTAAAATTGTTTATTATAAATCTAAAACTTTATTATAGATCTAGAATCTAGATCTACTTACTTTTCTGTGTGTTGGAGTGTAGTTATCCAAATCGTGAGATTGACTGGTTGCTTCACAAACATTAGGCAAGTTATCCATGTTTCTACAGAAACGAAAGTAGGAGTTATCGAGTTGTAGGTATTAACTATTTAATTTTTTTATTCTGCTTTTAACCAGCGCTACTATGGTTAATAAACAGATGAAATATACAGCACGGCTGTAGAGCTAAACTGGTCTCCACAAAAACTGTAGAGTTCTGAAGTTGTACTAACGGAATTTGTTGATTTGAGCCATTCCGACACATCGCTCGTTTTATAGCCATTTCTTCAACTACCCCACGCCAAGTGTCACTGGGGACGAAGCTATGCTGACACCGGAACAATGATTACGTTCCTCCAGTGCCCACCAATCGGATCGCTCGATTTCCTATCGGCACGCGCCCGTGCATACCGTCAGAGCAGATGGGAGCCTTAAAAGAGCGTCTGCACTGGGGCGAATATTTATTGCTTTTTTTTTTTAATTGTCTGGTATCGGTGAGTGACGGAACGCAAGTCCTCTCACGCGCGAAGAGGAAATAAATCCCGTTATTATGTTTTATCCTAAAAATGAAATTAGAGATCCAGGTGAAGTAGGACTGTTGCGTGCGTGACACTTAAACAATGACTATGCTTGGGCTGAGCTCGATTTTTTAAATCACTGCTCAAAGTGGCATAGATCTAGATCTAAATCGGATCACTAAAAGACGCGCTTAGTGCTTTCGCTTTTTTTTTTTTTTTTTTTTTTTTTTTTTTTTTTTTAAAGATTGTGAAATTGGATTTGGTTACTTTTAATTTGATCTTTAAAAATCAGATCTATAATAAATATTATTTACTGACCTTTGAAATAGAAAATTAGTTAGCCTAAATAGGTCTAGATCTATATCCTTAAGTATTCTAAACTTGACTGACACTAACATTTTGTATTATTAATTAAACACACATGAAATAATCACGAGCAACGAGGAAGAGGTGTTTTAACATATTTATAGGCTTATTATAGTTATAGATAGTGTGGTAATGCTGAGACCAGCTTTGAATTACACTGTTTTTGATTTAAGATTATTTTTTAAGGATGATATATGTTATTTCTTTCGGCAACATAAAAAGCACAATAATATGTAATTAGCTTAGGTTCTCAATACTTAAACTAAAATACTAGTAATACAAACTTGTAATATTATTATAGTTTGTGTTGTAAAATATGGGTTTAAATCAGAAATCAGATATTGGTATTGTCTGTTGAAATTAAAAGAACTTTACAAAAAGATAGGGAAGTGTGTCTGTTATGTGTGTTAATTTGTGCGCCTTAAACTTAAACATATCCTAACCTTTAACATATTGACCCTCGTAAAGAAATAGTATCAAACTGAAGTAATTGAGATACTTTCATCTGCTAAAAATAAACGAAAATATATTTTTTTAATATAGTTTGAAGTTTGAAGTTTTATGTACATAAGCCATTAGTGATGTTTTTATTTATCTTGAAATAGTTAGCTTGTTAAAAACAGCTTAAAATGTAATTTTAATCAAGTGGTCAATTAGTTTTACTGTTCAATCAATGACAGCCTAAAATTAAATTAATGATATTCAATTAATGTTAAAATTCAAGGCTAAGTCTAATTGTTTAATCTATTTAATGAACTTTTATGTTTTATTATTACTTAATAATTATTTGCATTAAATAATATAATTTATTAAACCAATTTTTGGGGTCTTAAACTAACATTTATAGACGTTGATTTTTAAAAATGTTCGATTTCAAGAGATCGTCTGCTCCGTGGCAGGCCAAACACAATGGCAGGCAGACGCCAGACAGTGATAACGTAACCAGCCATCCCTCTCACCCCGCCCCTCACCCCACCCCCTCGAACGTAAACAAACGGTCAGAGAATGAGCAGCTTGACCACAGATCATTGTCTGTTAATTGCACGAGAATCTCGCGCGCGACCCCGCCTGCGCGTGACACGAGCAATAATAGGGGGCGCTGGCGGTGGCCGGGCACATTAACGCGAGTGGCGATTCCAGTGCGTTGGTCATTCTGACGAAAACCAGATGGACAGATGTTGACCCCGGTTCGGGTGTGACATAAGAGGTCTTGAGGGGGTGGGGCACCTAATGTAATCGACTGACTCCTGGCGCTTTCTTCGGACCGTCTGCTAAATTTTTCGTAAGAAAGTTTAAGTTTAATCACGTGTTCAGTCTCACAATTTACATCTAACTTAACATATATAGTCTGCTTCTAAACCTCTTGCTATTTTTTTAACAAAACCAGATTTTTATTATAAGACATATTTAGCAGAAAATTCTCAATAATAGAAGTTGGGTTATAAAGATAACTAATTATTATTTTAAAAAAAAAGCTTTTTTTAAACGAGTAATTTTTTTCTTTTGATAAATTTATCATCTTAACATATTTGTGTTTGTTGCTCAGCTAAATATACTAACTTTATAAGTAGTGTGTTGTTGTTGTTGTAGTTTGTTGCGAGCTCAGTAGGTCTATACATTCTAATTCTAAACAGTGTTTCTGTCAGATATTTTTCTTCGGGGGGGGGGGGGGCGGACACTGGTAAAAGTATAATTTCTATATAAATTCTATTTTGTGGGGATAGACGTACTCCCCCCACCCTCGGAGATATGCATGAAAGAAACCCTGATTCTAAAAATACGTAAAATAGTTTTTATAGTAATTATAGCCAAGTTAAGTTACAAGTTTATAGAAGGTTACCACGAGTTCATTTAGCCATAATTTGTTAGTCCTTTTGTCTGCATAAATTAAATTGATGGCGATGTTTCAAGTCTCCGAACTATTGCATCCAATGATGTTAATCAGCCGTCTGGACGGCTGATGCTATTTTTGGGAGGTTGAGTGTGTCGGGCGCATCGCCTCACAGTTGTGCAAGGTGTGAGTGCTACACCGGACGTCGCTCGCGCGATGACATGAAAAATGACCAACGGTCAAGAAGATGTCTAAACGGACAAGAGAGACGCCGTTCTAATTGGCTGGGAGGTGAGGGTGAGGGCATGTGAGCAGATCCAGTCAACCGCTATGTTTATAACAGTGTCGGGGGGGGGGGGGGGGTGAGGGGGGAGCCGATGTAATGGAGTGGGGGTGTAGTGGGTGAGGGGTAGTCAGGGTAAGGGGAGAGGGAGTTGGGAGTATGTCGGGGTAGTTGGATGTAGTGGGTGGGTTAGTGAGGTAGTAGTTGGGGAGTGTTGGGGTTAGTTGTGTGTAGTTGGTGAGGGAGTGTGGGGGAGGAAGCTGGTTTAGCGGGTTGTGCAGTGGGTGGGGAGTGAGGTAGTGGGCAAGGGGTTGTCGGGGTAGTAGGATGTAGTGGATGGGGAGTGTGGGGTTAGTTGTGTGTAGTTGGTGAGGGAGTGTGCGGGGGAGGGAAGCTGGTTTAGCGGGGTGGGGAGTGAGGTAGTGGGTGTGTGGGAGAGGTATTTGGGAGGAGGGTAGTTGTGTGTGGTTGGTGGTGAGTAAGGTAGTGGTTGGGGAATGTGGGGGTGTAGTGGGTGGGGAATGAGGTAGTGGGTGGGGGAGTATAGGGGAAGTGGGTAGGGACGTGGTTGAGGGAGAGGGATAATGTCTGGATAATGGGTAGGGTAGTGGCTGGGAGAGTGAGTTGGGTAGTGGGAGTGAGTGGGAGGAAGTAGCGTTCAATAGCATGTACAGTGGCTTCGTTAGTCCAGTGCTTATTATAGCTAGGGGTTGGGTTATTTGTGATTTGCATGAGGATTTGAATGTTTCAGGGCTGGTAGATTTATAAATCAGTTGAGAAGCTAGGGTGGGCGGTAGAATACCTTTTAATACAAATATTTTAAAGACGGAAGACATGTAGTAATCATCGCTGAAGCAAAATTGTACGCCTAAATGATGCTGAAATGTAGCTTTAATTAGCATCACTTTGATCAGCTACTATACGTTTTTCTGTCCTATGGTACTGCATATTAGAAACCAAAATGCAAATTATGTTGTTGTTGTTTTTTTCTTTGTTAATTGCTCATAGATTACTCCATTAAAAAAAATAATTTTCTTTTGCATGTTCGAAAAAAACATTTTTTTAAAATCTGAGTACTAATAGTTATTCCGCTTATTTTGATACATTCTTTTGTAATTTAGGAAAAACACTACTTAAATATCTAAATATTACTCTATAGGCTAAATAGTAACATCATTTTTGGGGGGAGGGGGGGGGGGGGGGCAGAGGCGTAGCGACGGGGGTGGCGGGGGGGGGGGGGGGGGTGGTAGATATGTCTCCGGGCGCCGACCCTAGGAGCGCCAAAATAAGCTAATTTTAGCTATTTTGAATTATAAATATAAAAAAAATAGATATGGGGATGGGCGCCAAATTTAAAGTTTGTCCCCGGGCGCCGGGAGGGGTCGCTACGCCTCGGGGGGGGGGGGGGGGGTCTGACATTTTGTTACATGCGACGATGGGAAAGATAGTACACTGGAATAATAATTTTCAACAAAACGTCTAACCGGTTGTGAAACCCTGTGACGTAAGCCACGTGACCCCGCATGACGTCACCACCCATAACACCTCTGGCTCCGTGTGCTCTGTAGATGGCAGGGTCCAGAAACCACGGGTAGGCAAACATTGACGCGGTACTGAGCGGACCGGCTGCTGACCGCACCAATGCCGTGCGGAAGAGATCTTGTGAACGTCTGCTGTGGTCCATGTCGTGCGGGTGACGTCACGGCTGGGGACAATGGAAGAAAGCGTAATGATGAAGATAACGAGATGATGAAGATAATCTACAACACGTGAAGGGAAAGGGGGGGGGGGGGGGGGTGAGGAGAGATGGAATGTATTGATAGGGGGGGGGGGCTTTGAGTTCTATTTAATAAAATGTAATAAAAATAGATTATAACAAAAAGGTTTTGTACATGCAGTAAAAAAACATTTACTTCAAATATTTCACAATCTATAACTATAAAGAAAAGTGATAGTCTATATATTATGTTTTGACTACTGTTATTAAAATTTTGTAAGCGACCCATTTGTCTTTATATTTGTTTGATTAGTGTGACTTAAAAACACATTTTTATTCAAAATTGGATGAAAAACATCTATGTAAAACCACATTTTTTGGGTGTTATGTTTTCCCC